AATAATGTTAATTTGTTGAAGTGAAAAGTATACAGAAACTAGAGATCTTTGAGCTGATGGTAGTACAAACTACTGCTGATTTGAAACTCTTGGTTTGTGGATGCTGAAGCCTCGATGAAGTCGATTATGCTTCATTGATCCTTTTGCTTACTGAAATTTCAACCACATTTTTAGGTAGTCATAAAGAACTGCAGAACTGGAAGAATTCAGTTGTGAAGCTCACACCCAAGCAAGTGGTGAAAAAAGTCAGGTATAGATGTGATGTAACTAGCTTTTTTACAATCAAAGGAAGACAAAGATTGAAGAATCTGTTGCATTTCCTACAAAATTAATCATGCTGTTGGTGAAAAAGAATAATTCTGAATTCTTGGTAAATTGTAAGTCTTATATAATATCTAACTTCCATAAATAGGTAACTGATATTTGTTTTCCAGATAACAAATCAACTGCCCTACATAATATATTTCTACAATGAAGCAGAAAGAACAAAATTTGAAAAGATTCCATTACTGTCAGAATCACACTTGAGCAAGGTCTTGAGATGGAGAATAATGGAGATATTTCATAATCATTTTATTCTTATTCCTTGTATAGAATTAGAAGCTTTAAATTATTCACAGTGTTAATCATATTCTGGTTTATATGTTGAAATAAAGCAAAATTGAGTAGGTACCTACTCATTGAATTTTTTATTATTACAGAAAAAGTGAAAAAAAATTCATTAGATTGGCTACTGAAATTGCACTTGTCTTTTCTATGGAAAAATAGGCACTTTCACTAGATCAGTCCTGGTGGAAGTTGCATCAGCACTCTGGTAAGCAAGTTCTATCCTTCCAGCATCTTTGTCATTATCAGATTCATTTGATCCTTTTACTGAGGATGATTTGGTTGATTTAGCTGAAGAAGGATTAGAGACATATTCTAGTTTTTTATGGATGTGACCTTCCTCTTTCCCATTCACACACAGGTTTTACATTTTGATGCATTGTAATTGGTGAATTCTGTGAAGGTATTTAATCTGCATCACAGAAAATGTACCAATTTCTGCAATTGTATTTGGATTCCCTTGAAACTTGAAAGAAAAGCACATTACATAGAACACTGTAAAGATATTTTTCTCAAAATGAAAGAAATTACCTTCCTAATCTGTTTCTGAGAATAAGTATCTGCTACAGAGAGGCACATATATTTATTTGTAAATGGGTTTCCCAATTTTCGTAATGTTCTGCCACACTTCGTATAATTTTGCATCTGTAGGGAAGCTGTACATTTGTATTTGTATGTTTATAATGTCTTGCACTTGTTGGCCATTATTAGAAGTATTCTGAGACAATAAAAAACTTCAGCAAACTGGTTCCAAAACAGCGAATTTAAGCTGTTTGCTTCATCAAATTCATCAAAACTTCGCAAATATGAATTACGCAGTGAAGTCTCGGTCATGATTTCTTGTCTGAGGCTTCAGATTCAGATAACAAAATATGAACATTGAATTTCAGGTTATGTTATGTCGCACATTTCACGAAAGTTTCAATAATACTCATATGTTCATTACAAAGCCATCGCCTGCTGAAAGGAATTTTGCAAACTGATGTCTTTTCTTATTTTTAGATGGCGCATGCGCTGTAATACAGCTGCGCTCGCAAACTGTCATTTATTTTATTTTTTGGCTTCACTTGGAGATCCTTGTTATCCGTATATATTCAGTAGGTATATGAAATAATCACGGCATTAGTGTCCCAAAGCGCTCTTCGCAAATGAACAGAACGAAACATAATAGAATGGTGTAGCATCTATATAGTCTGTATATGTATGATCTAACTTTTTTCAACTACGCCACTGGGAGTCAGTCGTCCCCGTCACCATCAAGTCCGGCCACTTGAGCCTCAAAAACACTGAACCCTGCATATTAGTTGTTTAAAATGTATTATAATCTCTCCTAATCTGGCAAGCCGTGACGTTTTCCTTTTGTGTCCGAGGATTATGTCGCAGCTAACACCTCCTGGTAACTTTCGAGAAATTCGATCCGTACCATCGGCAGCCATAAGGACCAACTCGTCCAGAATCTGTAATCGAACACCCAAATTTCGATGACAACATTCTTTTCTTTTTTTGAGATCTGCTTTTTGACGTGTTTTATCTGGTCGTGTTTTTTCATTTCTCCTCGTCTTGATTGTTCCATGTTGAATGGTTTGTTTTGTAGAGGGTTGTCACTGAGAGATGGGAATCAGACTGGTGAGAAATAAAATAGGAGATAATGGTATGCAAGTTTGAGGTGATAGACTCTAAGCCCGAGATAAAAAAACAGGATTATCCATGATGCACGTATCTGAAAATGAAAATGAAAATTATGGACGATATACTTATTAAGTTGTATAATCTTGGACCTTGGACACATTCGATGAATTATCCAATTATTCAAATCAATAATCAACCAGAAAATAGTTAGTCGCATGGAATATTAATATATAGGGTGTCCGCTAAAAGGAGGTCAATCCATTAACCATATATTCCTTGAACAAAAATAATATGAGTTTCTAAATACCATTTTTCATTTTAGCCCTTCTTATTCGATATACAGGGTGTCAAAGTTGAAAATTAAAAACTGTTTTTTTCTAATTACTCGCGTAATTAATAAGATATTAATCTCAAAATAGGTACATTACTTCAGCACAAAGAGTTACATCGTATGAGGAAAACAAAACAGAAAATAACTGTCAAATATTCAAAATACTGGGGGTCAAGTACACACTTACCCCCATATTTTTTTTGTACGTGCGCTAATGACTTCCTATCTATTTTTCTTCATGTGTTCAATCATTTTTGAGTATTTTTTGATTTTTGTAAAATTCCGATAAAATTATTTGTTTTTAAGATAATTCGAAAAGTACTGGTTATTGTTTGATGCCTTGCGGCTTACGGTAATCTCATAATGTTCCCATACTCCTATTTATTTCGTCGAAATTGGAAGAGGGCGTATCTTATTACGTACGTAAAGGTGAATATGGAAATACCGGGTGCTCAGAGCGAATGTATTAAAATAATTTTAACACTTTTTTTTTTTTTTTGTAAAAATTATTTTAGTACATTTGCTCCGAGCACCCGGTATTTCCATATTTACCTTTTCGTACGTAAAAAGATACGCCCTCTTTCAATTTCGACGAAATAAATAGGAGTATGTGAACATTATGAGATTACCTAAGCCGCATAGGCATCAAACAATAACCAGTACTTTTCGAATTATCTTAAAAACAAATGATTCAATCGAAATTTTACAGGAAACAAAAAATACTCAAAAATGATTGAACACTTGAAGGAAAATAGATAGGAAGTCATTAGCGCACGTACAAACAAAATATGGGGGTAAGTGTGAACTTGACCCCCAGTATCTTGAATATTTGACAGTTATTTTTTGTTTTGTTTTCCTCACACGATGTAACTCTTTGTGCTGAAGTAATGTACCAATTTTGAGATTAATATCTTATCAAATACGCGAGTAATTAGAAAAAAACAGTTTTTAATTTCCAACTTTGACACCCTGTATACCGAATATGAAGGGCTGAAATGAAAAATGATATTTAGAAACTCATATTGTTTTTGTTCAAGGAATATGTGGTTAATGGATTGACCTCCTTTTAGCGGACACCCTGTATACATTGTCATAGATGGATATCCATAAATATAACAGAGTGAGTCGAAAATGTATACAGGGTGTTTCATAATTGAATGTCAATATTTGGGGACGCAATTCTTGGGCCCATTCTAAGAAGAAAGTTTCATATGAACGTATGACCTAAACATCCTAACTTTTGAGATACAGGGTGGTGAAGTTCTCAAAAATTAATAGTTTTTTATTAATATCTGTAATACCACTTCAGATATTCTGATGAAATTTGGCATACATGTACTATGTATCAAGAGGCATCAGTTAGCGTACCACATTTTTTGTTGTTGCCACCAGTGGCGTTCGTATGGAATTTCACATACCTATTTTGGCAGACATTGATGGTACGCCACTGATTAATCTCCAAATTGAAATCATTCCTGAAATTCCCGATCATTTCTAAGCAAATTTGATCACTACAATTTTTTCAATCTGATGCACGGTTTTCGCTTAAAAATAAAAAGCTTTTCACTACATGATTATAGTAATATTGTTAATATGATAATATCACAATGCAGAGAAATAGTTTTTATTTTTAAGATCAAATTTCAGAAATACAATTCATAGTTCATGAACTTTGTATTCGTATTTGGTATTTTCGAATTATAACTTCTCATTGTAGTAGGCTATATTAATTTTCGAGAATTTTACCACCCTGTATCTCCAAAGTTGGGACGTTTAGGTCATACGTTCATATGAAACTTTCTTCTTAGAATGAGCCCAAGAATCGCCTCCTCGAATATTGACATTCAATTATGAAACACCCTGTATACATAGCTTTCTCGAGGTACGTTAAAACATTAGTATAGTTTGATAGATGAGCTTATAAATATGGTTGATAATGGATATTAAGGGACCAATATATCCTTCCACAGTTGGTAAAATCAAAATAAATTTGTCGCATAACTACTGAACGGTGAAAGCCACCTGATTGAAATTTCATGCATAGATGTATTTTGTTATAGTTATTTATAATACAAGGGAAAAAAGTAGTATATTCTTGCTCCAGGTTGTGTATAGCGGAGAGAGACAAAACACCGTGAGCTAAAATCTAATATTTTTCCCGTGTATAATACACTATTATTTCATTAACAGAAAAAGGACGAATCAGTATTGAGAAGATATTACATGATATTGAAATCCATGCGTCGAAACGTCGGAAAACAATAGCTTCACTAAAACGTCACTAATGCGTCCTGAATGCGTCGAAACGTCGAGAAGCGTCGAAGAAACGTCACGAAAGCATTAAGCATGTGCCAAAAGTCAAAACGTGAAGCGTCGAAGAAACGTTCCTACATCAAGTTTGACACTGCAGAATATAATCAATATTCTTTTCCAGATGCAACCCGGAAAGCGAACTTTCTTTCCCTGGATTTGGAAGCGGTTGCGGCGGAAGTACGTCCAGTATGACGTATCTGAAATCAGCCCCTTATCCAGTGCCGGGCCTAGGCCTACACGGAATACCCGTAGACTCTCTCCACGCATCCATGGGAGGATATCCAGGGGGTGAGTAAAAACTGTCCTGAAAGTATGTGGAAGACTGAAACCTCTGATAATCACACCGAAAAAAATCCAGTTATAAAAGTCTCTATTCAAGAACATCCAATAACTAAATGAAACATTTCAACCACGAAATGTCATCTGGTGAACGTGAAAAGTCAACCCACCTTCTCAAATCACTCTTTTTGTTCTAAAAAGGTTATCTTATAGATTTGAAACGGAACAAGATTATAGTTGAAAGATGGATCCTAAAAGATGTAATTTTACGGTTATACAAGTATCATTCAAGTTCCATCCCTTTTTCATTTACCATCTTTGTCATACACCACAATGAGTCATCTCACTCACTTAAGAACACTTGTTCCATCAGAATCGTTAGTCGTCTACGGATACCTGATAATATGTAAGGACATTATATTAGCCCATAGCAGCTCGTGAACCCTTGCTGCTTCAAAATTTCTAGCCAAAAATTCATCAGAAGAAATAAAGGTTTTTCGTTTTCGTTTCGTGATTCGTGAACCCTTATTTACTGACGCCACCGTGTGAAATTTTGGCAACTATATGTTAACTAATAACCCAAGGTATAGTGATAAGAAGAACAAATACTCCAAATTGACATTTTTATCGTAGGCAAATTGAGAGATATTGTGTACTAGTATCAGTAGTAGTAGTAGTAGTAGTAGTAGTAGTAACAGCTAATAGATATTTCTCTTTAGGCACACTTCACTCTTCATCACTAACTAAACCGATTTTTCAACACCTTGACACATGTTTCGCTACCTATGTTATATAGCATCTTCAGGAGAAGTAGTGTTGTGTAGCCTAACACATGTACGATCATCAGTGGCGGATTCAGGGTATTGGTTAGGAAAGGGGTACTGAATATAAAAAATGAAGTATGAATATATTTTCAATAATAAGGAGAAGTGCACAAAAAACAGTGTTTTTGAGGAAACAATAAAAATTTGATTTGACTCCAAATTTTAATGTACTTAGGTGTTTTCAAGACTTCCATTGTGATTACTAAATAACCCCAATTAGAATCATTCCGGAATTTTGGGTCTTTCTCAATCTCCATTCATACTGAATTTTGACACCATGAAAGCTTATACAGGGAGGTTATAAATAAAAACAATTAATACTTCCAACATCCTGTAGGTATCTAGGTATCTCGAAAACGGAGCAAGTTAGGACACATGTTTATATAAACTTTATTTCCTAAAATATCACATGGAATCACCACTTGAATTTTTTCGGTGCTATTTAGATACACCCTGTATATAATATCATTTTTTTCATGTTCATTATTCATCTAAGAATATTCCTTTTCAATAATAATCAGAATGTTGCTAGTTTAGGACATATACCTGGTGTTCAAGGGAAAGATTTCATTTTAAAATATCTCTGTAAGTTATTTTGATAGCATGAACATGAAATCTTGTAGTTTCAGGTTTCCTGACATAGAGAATAGATGGCGCTGGTGACACTGTTACATCGGTATAAATGACATCATATACAGGGTGTTTCCTAACTACGGTTCCTAACTGCAGTTGGTGATTCGTAAGGTCATTTTAGAAAGAAAAGTTCCTATTAACATATGTCCGGAGTTGCTTCGTTTCTGAGATACAGGGCGTTGAAATTACAGAAAAAAAAACGATAATTATAAAATATCATGATTATCCTAGAACCGATTTGGTTGAAATTTGGTACTTTCATTTGAACTAATAAGGCGCTTATTTAGCCCTATTTAGATTGAAATTATTGGGGCCAGTGGCGTCTCAGTGGGCACCACAGCCAACAATATTGTGAAAAAAAGTACGCCACTGACTTTTTTTGGTAAATTTTTATTTTGTTTAGATGGAACAACTCAAAATTCAACTTTTTGGTCTCTTGCATTTTCTTCATATCCAGCTTCGTTTTCGAGAAAAAAAATCAAAGCCACTGTATTGCATATCATGAACACCTGCACTAGAGAAATGAGTTTTTTATTATTTCGGCCAGAAATTTCAAAATTAATTAATATGCTGAAATTTCAGAAAAATGACAAATAAAAGTACCAAATTTCAACCAAATCGGTTTCAGGATATTCATGATATTTTATAATTACCGTTTTTTTTTCTTTAATTTCAACGCCCTGTATTTCAGAAACGAAGCAACTACGGACATATGTTCATAGGGACTTTTCTTCTTGAAATGACCTAACAAATCACCCCCTGCAGTTAGGAACCGTAGTTAGGAAACACCCTGTATATACATCTTTGTCCATTGAATGATGATTGATATTAGTCAGAAATCTGAAAGCTCGTTCAATTTTACATAAGAAATGGGACTCCTTCTCAAATTTTCTAGCTTCAAGGGTTTATGGTTTTTGTGTTATTCGCTCTAGAAGAGATTTGTGTTACACTCATTGTTTCAAATTATGAAGTTATAGCGAAGTGACAGTAAAAAAAGCAGTAAACAGCAATGACAATCTCACTAACAACGCTAAAGACAAACATAATTTCAAAGTAAATGTTCGACCAAAGTTATGCACAATTTTTATAAGGCATGTTGGGCTAATTCTTCATATTTTGGTGTTTACTATCTATAGTTCAGAGAGTACCCATTCTTAATTAATCACCATGTTTTTAAAGAAGAATTGGATAACGATATTTGTTTATAAACTAAACTGTTTTTATATTTCTTGATTTCCTCAAAATGAGTGCTTACAAGAAAATAGGTTTAACGCCTATATGTATAATATCAACATATCAACCTATACCTACTTACCATTAAATTCACTGATGTTTACAAGGTACTACTTATACCAATGTATATAAGGTACTATACCAATGTATATCCTCGAATCTATATAATCATCTCTATAACTGATCGTTTTTTTTAATTTTCAATGGATCGTTGAATGTGATTATAAATGTCATGTATATGTATTTCATAAATGCTCCAATTGCAATTTCAGTGGTTATACTACCTATTCGTAATTGAAATATGTGCTGTGTAAATGATTCGTGTTGGAAATCCAAAAAATACAATTTCAGTTTTATATAAGCGATGAGTCCATGGAAATATTGTATCAATTATATTTGAATATATATCATGTGGGATTAACTACTGTAATATTAATACGAAAAAATTTCAGTATTGTGGATATATAGTGAATGGATCAACAAATTATTGTTAAATCATCCATTTTGTGTGTTGGTATATATAAACTTGGTATGACAGGTACATTGATATAAATATGATATACCTAATGAATAATTGAGCTATATGAAAATGACTTTATGAAAATTTAGATATCAATTCTGAGATGACGTATATAATTGATAGTTTTTATTGTTTTGTATAAAGGTATTTTATTTTTGTTTCAGGAAATCAAAGAAAACAAAGAAGGGAAAGGACGACATTCACCAGAGCTCAACTTGACATTCTGGAATCTCTTTTCGGAAAAACACGGTATCCAGATATTTTTATGCGAGAAGAAGTGGCCTTGAAAATCAATCTGCCAGAGTCAAGAGTGCAGGTGAATATTTCAAACACTTTTCTGAGTATTTCTGAAGATACTCATATACCTTCAGAATGTTTCCGTTATTGGAGGGATAAATCTAAATGAAATGGATTTAACAGAATACGAACAAACATCAATACGAAATAAAAGTGCATTTTTGTTGATGAAATAATCATTCTGGAAGGTGATGAGTTACGAAGATTGCTTTGAACTTGAGTGAATTTTATTCATCTCCTGGAGTGCACGAAATAGAATCCCTATAATGTTTGAAGAACATCGTGCGTATATATATATATACCTAGGGAGGAAAGGGGGAGGAGGTAGGTATATATACTTGTTCAATTTTTTTTCAACTCTTGGAAGTTATAAGTTCTTGGGAATACTAGTTTGGGAAAACTGTTGTTCGACATATTTCAAGGTTGACAACGAAACCCAAAACGGGATTGACCATTGATGCATGTGATATATGGTCAGAACGCGACTTTCAAACTTTCATTGAATCTTTCGACACCGAAATAACTATTGAATAACATTGGGCCTAAGTATTGGTTGCAAAATCATTTTATCCAACCGTCCAGTGAAGGATTTTGAAAATTTCATAAAAATATAGCAGTTTTAACAACATCCATAGAACGGCTAGGCTCTGGAATTCATTGCCTGAGGAAGTATTCCCAACAACATATAATCTCCAGAAGTTCAAAAAAAAATTCCAATACCTACCTCCTGTCCCTGTCCTCCCTAGGAACGCACGATGTTCTTTGAACATTATAGGGATTTCCTATCGTGCGCTCCAAGCGATAAAAAAAAATAATTATTGCTTGTCGGGAAAATTTTCTGAAGACTTCTCAGTAAAAGGGTTATACATTAGGGTGTTTCAGGTTTAAATGTATTTTATATAGATTTATTCGTTTGACAGAAATATTCTAGGACTCATTTTATTCTTCACTATTTATTCATAAGCTGCAGTAAACAAGGCTGATGTGCAAATCATTTTAATTTTGACAGTTCATCAACAATTATCTTAACGTTACCAATAATATCTTGTGATAATGAATTGAATTTTTTGCACAGCCTACTTACCTACTTTACTGCACAGCTAGTGAACAATTGAATGAACTCTCGAAAATTTCCAAAATCATGGACAAGCTATTCATCAAACGAAAAATATAGCTATTCACACCTAATTTGACTCTAATGATGCGTTGAACATTGAAGACTGTTATTTTTTTGTAATAAAATGGGATTTTGGATTACGAATTCAATAAAAGTGCCTCAAAATGAAGCTGAATATTTAAAAAAAGTTGACATCCTCAGTTATAGAAGACGGTAGACCCATCGATAGAAGGTGATTTGGAACCATAATGGTGCCCTTGTCCTGAAACACCCTGTTTAATACATGACAATAATTGAATGATTTGAAGACCGCATTCTTTTAGGATTTGTTGAGAAGCGTTGAAACAAAATAAAAACGAGTAACGGAACGAATTTTATGAAAAAAGTCATGTTATCTAACTGCCGAAGCATTCGTAATATTCGTATATAAAAATTCATTCCTTATAGCGTGAATTTTTCATGTTTTGTCTAGGCTTGGAAATGGAGAGATCAAGGAAACCCCAGCAAAGTATAGAATGTACGTTATACTTGTTCTCGTTTTCCACACTTTTGTGGATTCCTTTTGTGTGCCCAAGTCAGAATATTCATTGATTTCCTTCACCTACAAAGGAATCACACGCACACAGTGCATATAGTGTGCATGCTATACCGGAAAAAACATAAAAGCCCTTTATTTCATAGTATTTGCCACTGAATCACATTGTATAGTTATAGCTGGAAAATTGAGGATTATGATATTATTGGAGAATGGGAAACATCAATATATTATCTAGGTACTTAACAAAAGACTAGAGTGCATATATAGAAAGGAAAATCAGCAGAAGAATTCATAACCATCTAGGCGAGATACATTGACATCAAATAGCAGAAAGACTCAGCAAACTTGCTGCTACCTACTTTTTGACTATATTCTTCTGATGGATATAACCGTCAAATGAAATTGTTGGACAATGCTTCTTCTTTATGTATTTTAAATACTTCAAATGAATCGAGGAATACATGTCTCTCTTCTTCCACCTATATAAGTAATATAATGAAGCAGGAAACCACCATCGATCACATTGATATAATTTCTTAAACTCATTAGGGGTGTGACCGTGTGAACACTGTGAACTAAATGCTTATGCAAGGGAAAAAAGTAGTAGATTTTAGCTCCAGGTTGTGTTGTCTCCCGACGCGTAGCGGAGGGAGACAAAAAACCGTGAGCTTAAATCTAATATTTTTCCCGTGTATAATACACTATTTTTTTCTGTGACAGAAGGAAGGACGAATCAATATTGAGAAGATATTACATTATTTTGAAATCTGAAAATTATCGACGTGAAATTTCAAGTTTTTAATAGTAGGGACACCTGCGTTGTAGGCATCTTTATCATTCTTTTGAAGTAATCAAATATCTGATATCACTTCTGTCAGTTTAATTCTGTGATTTGATTTCAAAAAATTGCGAATTTAGTAGTTGTTCAGTAGTATACGTAACCGCGAAGTCGAACGGAAGATAAAAGGACGCAGTTCCTTCTCGGAGACGGTATTATTGACTCATTTTTCGGAACTATAGCACAACAAATGTCATCAATAGTGTATATATATGTGATATATATCCGGGAAAAAAGTACTCACTTTTTCCCCACGGGAATAAAGTAATTTATGAAAAGTGACATTTTATAACCTGCCAACAGAGATGAAATGCCAAACTTTTTTCTTGTCACAGAAAAAATAACTATTTTATATATATAGGCGTATTTCATATCCGTCAATTCGTTCCGAAATATTTCACTCAATTCAGATATATACATACACGCCTGAAATAAAAAACAACATATCATCTAAACTATTAGGAATGGATATACGCCAATTTGAGAGCAAATGGATCAACTCCGGCGCTACTTTTTACACCAAAAACACAATTTTCGCATTTTTCCGATAAACGCTCCTTTGTAAATTCATCGATGATAGGATTCATTCCGATCGAACGATGTTCGATTCACTCTCAGTGCTACCAACAGCGCTAGCGGTGGCATCAGAAACAACAAGCATCGCCAAAGTGTCAAAGTCAACAGGCAGCAGCGAAAGCAGAAGAAGAAAGGGCGCAATTCGCCGCCCCCAGAGAGCAATAAGGGTGTTGTTAGAGTAACCAGAGTGCAACAATAGCTGTGGGCGAAACAAATGCGAAACGTGCTCTGGCATGACGCTGAGAGGCTAATAAGGTAACGACCGAGCAGACTATTCGAGTATTCACTCCTGAAATGGATCGCTTTCTAATGTTTCCTCTAGCCTCTTGCTGATTTATTATTACGACTTGCATTGTGGACTTTGTTCTGCCCGACATTGTTGGGGATTTTTAATGTTTTATTGTCGACACACGTTTGGATATTGTGGAGGTAATGATGTTACACCCTCTTTATGTAGATCATGCAGGTCGGCCGTCATGGGGTTGGTATGGTCATTATCTATTTGGTGAAGGTGGTAGGTATTTCTATACATGCTTTTGCGTTAGATGTGTCTTTTCTTGAGATTTTATGTAATTTATTGGATTAAAGTGTATATATCCTGGCTTTTGCAGGAATTTTAATCTGATGGCAAAGTATTGGTATTCGTAAACGTTATTTGACACTTTTGACAGAAGTGCTATATACGGTTCATTTGTCCTCATGATGTATACCGAGTATGCTGAGTTCAGAGATGTCGTGGCATCAAAAAGTGATTTCTCCTATTTCTGAAAACTCATGATGAAATTGTTATGCATTTATCTAACCTATATTTTCAGTCTCAAATGTCAAATGTCAACTTGATCACAACTGATCAAATTATAATAATCAAGTGTAAGGTGCAAGAAGAGAGACATATTTTTTCCTCAATTATCTATACTGAGGAAAATTGTGCTATTAGAGGTTTTGCTGTAATATTTCTTGCTATCATTACAAGAAGTCATATTATATACCGTTATACATTTTCGAATAGAAGCAGCACCTTGAAATCCTATGATAGCAATAACGACTTTGCTGAAAGTGAATTTCCTGCCACAGGAAGGTATAACTGCTGCCACTCTGGGACAGCATGATTTTTTTTTATAATTATTGTCTAGCTGAACTACTACTAGTGAGTTATATGCTTCTGGCTGCGAGGTTCATCGTATAGAACTGCACTCCCTACCAATAATACAACTGTCAGTCTGCCACGAAAATAATATTTGACGAACCTACTTTGGGGTCATTTAGCGCCTACTTATGTTTATTCGATATTTTACTGATTTGTCCCCCTCTGTATAAGCATTTGTCAGACATCTTGCTTGATCAATCATTCACAGTTGGGCTCTTCATGCAGACCCATGTACAGGACGACAATCTCGACGACACGACAGTTACGAATACTTCCATTCTTGAATTCAATCCATCATTCAAAATCTGGATCTGAATTCAAATAGAAAATGGAAACATTCTTAAAAAAATGAAGAAATTTTGTGTGTCCCTTTCAGTTGCTTTCGTAGATCTGAGTGCTTCAGTTATAACCAGGATTGATGGAATGATAAAGGTGAGTTTTTTCGAGGTATTCCGACTGAAATTCAAATATTTTACATTCAACATTCCCCTCTTTTGGGTACCAAAATACTTTAAAATTGTCAAATATGTTCCAGAGCTGTAAGCAAAAATGTTCTGAATATGAAATTATTCGATGATTTTACTATGGTAACATTTTGTTTTCCTGTACGCATCTGATGTAACAGCTTGCCTAGTTTTCGAAAAACAATGGTTTCAGAAAGTTTCAGAAAAATTCTTTTTTTCATTAATTACTCAAAAACCTTTTGTTTTTCCTGAGGGTGCATGAATCAATTGAATTTCAAAGATCATTGGTCCGAAATTTTCTTTAGGAATCAATAAATTGCTATTCATACCAAACATCAGGGTGGAAATTATGGAAAGTGAAATTGGATATCAGTCAAAATTCCTTCTTTCTTGATGACAACAATCCTGGTAAATAATTGAATAACTATACAGCAAGAAAGTCATGCAACTATCTATATGATCACTAATCAAGAGTAGCAAAGTTCCCTACCTACGATTATAACATTGCCCTACTCCCATTATTAGATGCACTCACTAGCGGTAGCAAAGTCAGATACCTACTACAAAAACATCGTCTAATAGCAATATACAGTGAGGGGCAATATTATGGAATAAATTCATTTTTACGAGAATAGGCAACTTTTGAGACAAATCCCGAAACACGTCGATTTTTATTTCCAAATTATGATTTTGTGGCAGATATGTCATACTAGTGACGTCATCCATCTTTGCGTGATGACGTAATCGATGATTTTTTTAAATGAGAATAGGGGTCGTGTGATAGCTCATTTGAAAGGTTATTCAATTCTCTATGCAGTGATATGAACATTGACATAATTATTTATACAGGGTGGCCAAAAAAATATTTAATTTGTAAATGAAATTAATTGTCACAAAAAGAAGTATTATCATTTATTTAATACAAAATTACATTGTACTACTGTCGGAAAACAGAAAAACAAATTAGTTGACAAATAAAAATTGCTTTTCGCTTAAATTAAATGTTCAAATTGCCACCCACCTGCCTCTTGGCAGTAATTGAACGGACGAATACATTCTTCTTGAACATTGTGGATCATTTCTGGAGTTGAATTACGAATTTCCAATGTAATGCTATTTGTCAAATCTTGGAAATGTGTGGTCTATCGGCGATCTGGATCATCCTCATTGATTTTGTCTACTATTGAAACACTTGAAACAGTTTATAAATAAATGTTTAGAACTGGTGTGCTTTCTACTACTATGAAGAAACAAAAATAAATTCCGATATTAGGCAAATAAATAATGAGAACTAAAAAGATAGCAAAAAGTATAGTTTTTACAAATCGAGTTGGCTTGGGTCAAATGTAAGTCAGTTCTTGACATTTTCTCATAAGGACTAGTTTATTTCATGAAATAAATAAATAATGGCCCCATTAACTGAAACACAAAGAATCGAAGTATTAATTATGGTTGGATATGGAGATAGAACCAGAACACAACAAGAAGTATGTAATTTATTTACCATAAAATATCCTAATACGCCTATCACACAATCCACTGTTAGTAAAATTGAGAAGAAATTTAGAGAAACTGGACACGTGAAACATGTTGCAAATGCTGGTCGTCCACCAATGAATGAGGATGTGAAACTGTCTGTATTATTAAGTGTGGCAGAGAATCCTCAAATTAATTCTAGGCAAATTGCAGCTGATACAAACATTTCTAAAAGGTCTGTTTTACGTGTGCTGAAAAAAGAGAAATATCATCCGTATAAAATTCATAATGTCCACGAAATCAATGAGGATGATCCAGATCGCCGAATGCAGTTTTGTGAAGTAATGCAAGATTTATGTAATCAAAATCCACGCTTCATTCGTGAAATCCTTTTTTCTGATGAAGCAACCTTCTGTTTAAATGGAAAAGTGAATCGGCAAAACTGCAGATATTGGAGTCAAGATAATCCCCATTGGATGACTGCGGTACACAATCAGCACCCTCAAAAACTAAACGTGTGGGCAGGGATAGTCGAGGATAGAATTATAGGTCCTTTTTTCTTCGATGGGTCTCTTACGGGGCAAATATATCTTGATTTTTTACAAAATGAACTTATACCCGCCCTTACAGACATGTTTCCTAATGAAAATGATCGTAATTCGCCAAATGAAAACATATGGTTTCAGCAAGACGGTGCACCTCCGCACTTTGCACGTCCTGTTCGTGATTTTTTAAACAGATGTTTCCCTAGGAGATGGATTGGTCGACGAGGAACAATAGAGTGGCCCGCAAGATCTCCAGATCTTACACCACTTGATTTTTTCCTATGGGGTTACTTAAAATCAAAAGTTTACATCGATAGACCACAGAATTTACAAGATTTAAGAAATAGAATTAGATTGGAAATTCGTAATATACCTCCAGAAATGATCCACAATGTTCAAGAAGAATGTATTCGTCGGTTCCATTACTGCCAAGAGGCCGGTGGGTGGCAATTTGAACATTTAATTTAAGCGAAAAGCAATTTTTATTTGTCAAATAATTTTTTTTTCTGTTTTCCGACAGTAGTACAATGTAATTTTGTATTTAATAAATTATAATACTTCTTTTTGTGAAAATTAATTTCATTTACAAATTAAATATTTTTTTGGCCACCCTGTATAAATAATTATGTTGATGTTCATATCACTGAATAGAGAATTGAATAACCTTTTAAATGAGCTATCACACGACCCCTATTCTCATTTAAAAAAATCATCGATTACGTCATCACGCAAAGATGGATGACGTCACTAGTATGACATATCTGCCACAAAATCATAATTTGGAAATAAAAATCGACGTGTTTCGGGATTTGTCTCAAAAGTTGCCTATTCTCGTAAAAATGAATTTATTCCATAATATTGCCCCTCACTGTACAGATGCACTCGCTAGTGGCAGCAAGGTTATATATCTAATAATCGCAGGTGAGTTATAACCAGCAAAGTTGACTTTATAATCATGCACAGGTGATAACTCGCTCGTCCCATATATATGCTATCAGAGTTTCTTGCTGAGGTAATTCGATTTCTGACTATGGTGAATAGGAATTTTCCTCAGTGTAGAAGTATATGGCATTATGTGTATGTGACGAAGAACTTTTGTACCACAGCAACAATTATATTTGGATGTTACCCATATAAGCATGGTCAGAACATATATAGCAGCAAGTTTACTATTATAATTGCATACAAGTAATTCAATCATAATGAAAACAAAACAAATATAAATTATAGGTAGATACTTTTTGCAATTCTTTATGAATATCGAAGGGTTATTTTTATGTTCAGGTCTGGTTCAAGAACAGGCGTGCGAAATGTAGACAACAACAAAAGCAACACAACCAGCAGCAGAGCGCGGATAAGACCACCACCAGATTAAAAAACAAGTCGGCCACCAACCTAATATCCAAGTCATCTCCGACACCCGTTTCGGTTTCCAGCAACAACAACAACACCAGTACGAGGTAAAATAAATAGTATAGTTTATCTGGGGCGGATCTATACAGGGGGTGTCCTGAAATTAGCCTGCCAAACTTCGCCATCAGCAACTTCTACGACCAGAAATGGAAAGAAAAGTTCCAATGAACATATAAGCTGAGAAATGTCTCCTTAGAGAACTACGGCCCCCTGAAAGGAGGCTCCTGAAGAAGATATTTGTTGAATTTTTCCGGAACGCCACGTGATATTGAAAACTATAGACCGATTGCACTAATCTCTGTATTCTCCAAATTACTAGAAATAATCATATTTGACTCAATTTACAATCTTGTTCGAACTTCTCTATCTGAATTTCAACATGGTTTTGTGAAATCGCGTAGCACGGCAACAAATTTATGTACTTTCACCCAATATGTTTCTAATGCTCTTGACTGCAAAAATCAAGTTGATGTAATTTATACAGATTTTAGCAAAGCATTCGACCGTGTATCACATCAACAATTATTGAGTAAATTGTCTAGCTTCGGCATATCCTATGACATTGAGTTACTACTAAAATATTTCTCATCAAATAGGAAGTTATTCGTAGAATATAATGGTGTCAAATCTTTCACATTCAAGGCAGCTTCAGGAGTACTACAGGGCTCCACTTTAGGACCTTTACTGCTCTCACTTTTTATCAATGATATATGTGATCGTATCCAGTCTGCTAAACTACTATTTTATTTTATTTTTTCATTTTTATTTTTATAGGTTACAGGCTACTCAACAGGTCGAATGACCCAATTACAGAGAAGCTCAAAATTTACTAATCATCAATTAACAATCGAAGGTTATGAAAAGTTAAAGTTTATATAAGTGAGATTGATTACTACAGTGGAATATAAAGAACAGAAAAATAGGAAAAGGTGGATTTCAGTTAGCTATTTGAAGAGGAGTCGTTACAATTGAGGTTACAATACCTGATTATGTGAAAAGAAGTCAAGAGTGAATAATTTGCCTCAGTTTGGTTTCAAACCTGAATATTTTCGTGGTGAAAATATCTACAAGAGAATTGTTACCTATCGCATCATAAGAATTTATGCACCTATGTAAGGGTGAATTCAGTAGAGAGTTAGTAGAGCTAGGTCCAGTTGTGAAGAGATGTCTGTTTCTCACGGCATGTGGAGTACAGTTCAAAGTGAGAGAATTGGTGCAAAATTCAGAATCAATTAGATTGTTGACCACTTTGTAAATGAAAGAATGTCGAAAATTTTTCTCCTCAGTTGAAGGTTTTCAATTTTGTAGTGTTTAACATTAGCATTGTATGAGGAGAAAATTTTTCCATGGTTAAAACGAAAATTCAGGTGTCGGACAAATTTCCTCTGAACATTTTCAATTCTATTGATGACATGAAAATCTACAGAGAAATTAAAACTATTGATGACTGTCAACTATTACAACTGGATCTTGATCTAATCAATGATTGGTGCCTCAAAAATGAACTCTCTTTGAATACCAATAAATGTAAAGTCATGACTTTCACACGAAAATCTACCCCAATTTCATTCGATTATCACTTGGATACTTCACAACAAGCACGAGTTCAACAATTCAAAGATTTAGGAGTTCTTTTTGACCAAAAGTTGACATTCTCCACTCATAAAGAAAGTGTAATAGGCAGAGCTATGAAGTCTTTGGGATTTTTGATTCGTACCTGTAAGGAGTTCAAATCATTTGGTGCTTTGCGCAGTGTCTACTTCTCATTGGTGAGAAGTAAATTAGATTACTGCAGTGTCGTATGGAATCCATGTCATTCCAAATATATCGAAGCCATTGAATCAGTGCAAAGAAAGTTTTTAAAATATGCATACCTATTGCTGAACGAATTCGATTGAAATAATCGATTTAACTTTTATGCATAAAATAATCCATAATCATATCGATTCATCCTCATTACTTTCTCTGATTGATTTCAATGTACCACGATCCGTGTCAAGATCAGATATAACGTTCCGCATTGCTGTGCCCAACACACAACATCACTTCCATTGTCCCCTTACAACAATGTGCCGAAGTTACAACAATTTACAAAGTATTGATATATTTTTTCTCTCGCTGTCTCAATTCCAGCATAGACTATTTAGTGCCTTGAGGAACTAGTTTCACATATCTTAGTTTATATTCTTTTCGAGTTATGTATAGATATAGGTATATATTTTTAGCCATCCAACTAATAACCATGTATTATTATTAAATACACCTGTAAATGGGCGTAAGCCTGCTGGATGTATTAATATTAAATAAATAAATACAATTTGGCACAAAAACTATAAACTTTTCATGCCCAATGCGGTGAACATGAAATCATTTCAAAGTTTCATTCAGGAGTGTATAATACCGGTGGGACTACAAAAACTATTTCTAAAACTTTTTTGTATGCATATCTTTCGACAATTTAATACGGATTATGAAAAAATACAGGGTGGGACTACAAAAACTATTTCTCAAACTTTTTTGTATGCATATCTTTCGACAATTTAATACGGATTATGAAAATCCACACCGTTTCACAAATCGGAGTATGAAGTTTTCGTTGGACCACCCTGTATACAACAATCAATTTCCAGACATTGTCATGTTGAAATACGGTAACGATTCAAAAAGCATATTATTGGACTTTAGCTGCAAATAGGTATATACAGTGTGACCCATTTAAAATGGAACCACCCCTGTATCTTACGTAATCGTTGGGTAAATATCCTGAAATTTGCTGGAGCGAGAGATATACCAAAAATGCACTCTATGATCAAGTGGGGTCATCTTCAGTGATATACACTGCTCGTCAACAGCCATGAAACCACCCCAATTTCCGGAAAATGATATTAGGAGTCAAAATATATAGGTTGAAAATCACGTCGGATTCGGAATCAGGACGCCGAAGTTACTAACTATTCAAAGTTTTCCTATAGAAGATTTTCAGTTCAGTAAAATTAAAATTTGTCTCACTTCTCATGGAAGCACCCCCGTATCTCACGTAATTATTGAGGTAGGGTTCTGGAATTTGCCGGAGGAAGAGAAAGTTCAAAGATGAAGTCAATTACGTGAGATACGGGGGCTTCCATAAAAAATGCGACAAAATTTCATTTTTCCGAACTGAAAATTTTCCAGGAAAAATCTGAATAGTTAGTGAATTGGGCGTCCTGATTCCAAATCTGAAGTGATTTTCGACCTATTTTGACTCCTAATATCATTTTCCGGAAATTGGGGTAGTTTCATGGCTGTTGGCGAGCAGTGTATATCACTGAAGGTGACTCCACTTGGTCATAGAGTACATTTTTGGTATATCTCTCGCTCCAGCAAATTTCAGGATCCTTACCCAACGATTACGTAAGATACAGAGGTGGTTCCATTTTGAATGGGTCACACTGTAGCTATATCAGAAAACAAATATTGCCTTCCCCAACCCTTGAAGTTTAGTATAAGATTCTACATCAAATCACGGGGTAACAATTTTTTAGGTTGTGGAAACGTACTCATGCAAGTATAGCCGCCTTTTTGATGAAGTCTCTTATACTTTCATTATGCCTCTTGTTATGATAATTTTTGATGAGAATAGCATTATATTTTTCAGTTCCTCAGCTAGTTCTCCAACGATACATACAACGCCACACCTTAGAGATAGTCCTAACTACATAAAGTCACAACTTCTTTCGACCTGTGGCAGCACCAGTTCTCCAACGGTAAGTAGTAATCTGTAAAAGAGGCTATGAACCAAAGTTTGGAATGACATAAAACCACTTGAAATTTCATAATCATTTCCTACCTTACCTTTCCCAGTGGAAGTTTTTGTCCTCTTTTTCCATTCATTTAATTTAAACACTACATCGAAAAATCAAAAAAATAATTCAGATTTCTTCAAAAAAATAATTCAGATTTCTTATTAATTTTAGCGACATCTATAGAATAGCGGCGGCATCACCGACTATTTCATTGATTTCGTTTTATATGTCTTTCGCCGTTTACAGAGATCAAAAGAAATTATCAAACATACTTTATCTTTGCCCTATACATATTTATGTTTCTGTTTTTGTTTATCAATAGTCAACTACATTGGTATCCAAAATAATATCAGATAATAATTTTACTCTGCATTTGTACCAGCGAAGAGACAGCTTTTTACCTTATTCTAGCTTCAAGCGTTTTAAAAAAGATGGCGCTCTCAGAAAGACAAGGCAAGGTTGGTAGATTTGAATGATTTGATTCCTCAATTGAATGAGCCTGTCTCAGTGAAAAATTACATTTCTTTATTTCGAAAGTACCTTCTAACCTAAATTTGTTCACTGTCGCAAACCGTTTTCTACTAGGAGCTTTTTTTATTTTTCAAATAATTATCCAAATGAATGATTTTTCATAACATGAAAACGCGGAAAGGCGTGTGACGTCATATATGAATCCATTGCAGTTATATAGACGATACGACTTTACATATTATATGTATTGAGTATGGATGTGAATTATTATCAGTGAGTATTCACAAGTGTATCTATATAATTATAATCAAGGTTATAATTTATATGTAGAATGTGGAAATATTTTCATTGGTTTTTGTGTCATAAAACACTAACAGTGCTTATCGGTATGTCACGTCATCGAGAGCTATATATATATAGCGTTTTGTGAGATGATTATTTCCATCATTTTGAAAAAACTATTTGTGATAATTTTAAATAATTGCGTTATGACTGATGTATCATCAATACCTACTATTATCACATAAAATGGTCAAAATAAACTATATATAGATATACCTATAGCGTAAATTCGACTAGAGTGTACAACTCCATTCATGAAGCATATACCGGGTGACACATCAGGAGACAATCATGTACTTAACAACCTGAAGTGCTTTTATTTGGGGAGAATATGAAAATCACAAGGGTTATATTATCGATGATGGCGCTTCCCTTGAACCCAATGAGAATTTTCTTCAACCACCTGCGTTTGATCGGAAGTAGACCCATCTTTTTTTTCAGATGGCATATGGTAGCATATATTATTTGCCTTGAAATTCTCTATTCAAATATATGTATCACAATTCAATATTCGTTCATTAATTGGATGTTAAATTGCATTTTCTTGAAATACATGAAGTTGGCTGTGGCTCGAATGCAATGACATTTCGATGCTTGAAAGGTTTAGAAATCCAAAGATCATTACTTTAGACAATATTATCAGCGAAGAGACATTACACTGATTATTTTAAAGTCAATGAAATTATTGGCAATCTTCTGGGACCGATTAGGGTATAGAAAATATTCTGATATAAGATCGTTTGAGTGATGATCTTTTTATTGGACATCTAAGCTTATCAATCTTCGAAATGTATCATTGTATTCGGGCCACAGCCAACTTCATGTATTTCAATAAAATGCAATTTAACAGCCAATTAATGAACGAATATCAATCTGTGATACATAGTTATTGAATAGAGAATTTCAAGGCATATAAGATAGACTACAGAAAAAAACTTAGAATCAAACAGGTGGTTGGAAAAAATTGTCATTGGGTTCAAAGGAAGCGTCATCATCGATAATATAACCCTTGTGAATTTAAAATTTTTATCTCTTCAACTTATAAAACAACGACTACAGGCTGTTACATATTGTCTCCTGTGTCAACCCGGTATAGTTAACCCCAGAATAGTCTGGTAGAAAGAATGAATAAGAATAAATCAATAGATACGAATAAAAATTGAATGTCTATAAATTCTTGGAATTCCAGATCCCGAGTTCTACCTTCACAAATTCAGCAGCCAATTCAAGCATTTGGTCTCCAGCATCTATCGACAGTTTTTCGTTAGATCAACATCGATGGTGTTCTTCCACACAAGCAACAGTACTGGGTACTACGAATTCATCGACAAACTGTTACAACAATTATCCATATTACTCGAACATGGATTATATCAGTTCGAGTTCAATGAACCATTCACAATTCACTGTAAGTAAATCAGTATAATTTCTTAGATAGCACAGAAGGGCAATTCATCATCATTATAAATCGGATTCTGAAATTTGGTGGACCAACAAACGATGAATTACCGGGAAATTATTGGCCCCCTGCTTTCTTTGCTGGGGAAATGACTTCAACGGCAAGAATCTGTTGGCCTTTCACATTCTTGTAGTCACTTTGCCAGTGGAGCAAATAGGTATTGGGCCTTCATCGTTTCTTTGATATTTCATCTCACCTCCCGCCCGTCTTCGATAGCTCAGTAGTTCAATATATAGTTATTTATTATACAAGGGAAAAAAGTAGTAGATTTTAGCTCCAGGTGTTGTCTCTTGACGCGTAGCGGAGGGAGACAAAAAACCGTGAGCTTAAATCTAATATTTTTCCCGTGTAAAATACACTATTTTTTTCTGTGACAAAAGAAAGGACGAATCAATATTGAGAAGATTTATTTTGAAATCTGAAAATTATCGACTTGTAATCTTAAATTTTTAACAGTAGGCGGACACCTGCGTTGTAGACATCTTTATCATTCTTTTGAAGTAATCAAATATCTGATGTCACTTCTGTCAGTCTTATTTTGTGATTTGATTTCAAAAATTGCGAATTTGGTGGTTGTTTAGTAATATACGTAACCGCGAAGTCGAATGGAAAATAAAAGAACTTGCAGTTCTTTCTCGGAGATGGTATTATTGACTCATTTTTCGGAACTATATAGCACATCAAAAACCATCAACAGTGTATATATATATGTGATATATATCCGAGAAAAAAGTAATTTATGAAAAGTGACATTTTATAACCTGCCAACAGAGATGAAATGCCAAACTTTTTTCCCGTCACAGATAGAATAGTAAGGACAGATAATTGTTGAATCCAAATGTCACTGCGTTATTGAAAATATTTCACTTCTGAAAGCATAAAAGGTATAAATGATACTCACTATCACATTTAGTGACACTACATAGGGTGTCCCAAAACTGCTGGAACACAGAGCTAACCACTTATGTGATAGAAGTCAAAATAAGTTGATTGGACTCAATTTTTTTTTATCGCTTGGAGAGTTCCGAGCAAAAAAAAAGGTGCATTTCAGTTTTTTACCGTTATATTGAACATTTATTATAAAAAAAACGTTCTGGCTTTGTTTCCATTAACAACTAAATTGTGCATTTCGAATAATTATTATTATTAAACTTGTACTAGGAATATCTGTTAGCATTATTAAATGAAACATTTTTTCCTTAGAAAATATGGGGAGTTCGAAGTTTTAACAAGTCATAAAATGAAGATAATCAATCTGTCTTCTCGTTGAAAAAAAATTGAGAACCACCCTTAACAATGTTCTAAGAAAAATTTCAAGGGGGTACAATTTTCTTTGAGTTTCTTTGATTACTGAAAAGATAGTAATCCTCTAGAATGCACTAAAATGTGTTTTTTATGTAAACTTTGAACACTTCTCATGGACAAACGATACATTTTGGTATAATAATAAATTGGGTCCAATCAACTTATTTTGACCTCTATATAGTACACGTGGTAGAGGCTCTGTGTCCCAGCAATTTTGGCACACCCTGTATAGCTTGTTGTATTTATATAATGAAATAATTTTGATACTCTATACTTCTATTCTATTCATACAAACGAGAAGAGAAAATCAACAAACTATAGAAGACAATTTTCAGAAACAATAAGTATACAGGTAAGTCGGTATGTATTACAACTATTTCTTAATTTCAGGAGAATGGTATAGAAAACGGCTGGGCCAAATCTAGAGACGAGTCGTCATCATGGTTATACAATGGAAGTTGGGACCGAAAATGAAACCTCATCAGAGTCAAGAGGCTCGGAAAGTTTTTCTGATACATATGCCGATAGATCAAATTTATAGTGATAAAATTAATTGATTATTGCGAGTACAAAATACTTTATCATCACTATATATATAGAACTACTTGAAAAAATAATACTGAAGAATTTTGAGAAACTTATAACAAATTATATTTGAATTTTGGAAGACTTTTTCAATCAAATAAGGATGGATATATGCTTAGAATTTTCCTGAATTTATCGATATATATCATCTTTCATTTAATTTTTTAATGAATAATCCAATTGTTTTTTCAAGAGCTTGTTTTAAAAATGAATTAATAGATACTTTATTGATCGCAAAGGGTATATTCCTTCAGATTTTCAAGCCAAAACAATTCTAAAGACTTAAGTACGATAAAACTAGCTAAAAAATTACGTTTGATGTTTGGGTTTAGGTCCAGTTTTATCGTAGAAATGTTGAACTCAAGGATGGAGTTAGTTCGGAAACATTAAATGATAAAATATCTAATTCTATTACTCTACAAGAACTCGTAGAAAAGAATGTTTTCTGATGTATATCTTTCCTTAACAAGAGCAGGTTTTCATGAGAATTATACCTATTTAATCTTTGTTTCTTAAATAATTTGCAGTGTATAGTGAAAAATATCAACTAGAAGTGCAATTAGTTTAGGTTCATTACTTCAATGATTGGAAATGTGCAATGTAAAAAGGAAAATGCCATATCAGTTTCATTATTTGTACATAAAAGAAATTAAAATACAAAATTACTGTAAATTAGTCCTAGTTTATATAGACTTTTCGACCAATACAATAATTATATCGAATTTAAATTCAGAATTCTTATTTTAATGAATACTAGTCAGTCATGTGCCAATATGAGAAAATCAACGAAACATCTCGAGAAAATTTGTTAACGTTCATGTACATATCTTAGGTTTAGTTATTTCTTCAATTGCCTAAATGTCAACCTTAGTAGAACTGTATATATTTGTTTTCAACATTTATTAAGTGGTCGTTCATTAGATTTTGCTACATCGTTCTGATGTGGACTATATTTGTAGATTTACGAAGTTTTAAGGCCTATTATTTTCAAGTCTGATTTTGAATAAAACACCGTTTACTTTGAGCTGGTTTATTTTCAGTTCTGCTACCCACTATTTGTATACATCTCATAAACTTGATAAGCTGTAAAAATATGACAAAACTATACATTGTACAATAAATGCTCTACGAGCTCTTTTTTTGTCTTTCTGTCCATAGTTTTCACGATTTCTAGTGCTTTTTCTGCGGAAACATCGTCCCCAACAAAAAGCTTGCTGAGTTTCTCGGGATCAGGCTCGAATTTTTTGCAAGTCAGTTCTTTCAATGGAAGGTCATAATAAACAGCAATCTATAAAATTAATCGACGATTAGATCAGTGGATATACAGGGTGGAATACCTAAGATTGTGAAGAATTCAGTATACGTTGTCCCACCAGGAATGATACACATTTTCAAAGTGAACAACGATGAAAAACTAAAAAACAAAAGGTGGATTTGAGATATATTAGAACTTGTTTTCACCTTATACAGTATTATCACTTCATACGTTAGATCACAATATTACCTACTATACAAGTCTCTCCCTCATGAGTAAATTCGAATGATCAATTATCAAGAGTATATTTCAAGGTTGCTTTAGCAGCATTAGATGTATAAAGACTGTCTTATCGCTGCAAAGATTGAGTTCGTCATTTTTCATCAACTTCCAAATAACAAAAAACTAAATGAATTATTTGGAAAACAATCTATGAACTGAAGTGAATGTTTCCCAGGTAGTAAGTAAGCAATTGCATTTCAAGTATATGGTATATTTTTTATTGTATATGTAAGTTTCCGCATTTTTCCAACAATGTATCAAAAATTGATGAATTTGCCCCAAATTTGTTGTATGAAATACATCTATGTGTGAAGAGCTCCACCAGAATAAATTCATTTTTAGGAGTGAGAAAAATACACACGTTAGTTCATAAAACAAAATTAACTTGGATATCAACATACCTAGTTGAATTGAGAACAAAGTTCTGACTATTCTAGAGAGCTTGAAAAAGAATACTTATTTTGTTCTTCAAACTATGTATTTTGTTTTATCATTTCAAATGGTATACAAGTTTGATTATGCGCAATTGTTTATAAGACGCTTTGATTTTTACCCAGAAACATATTTATGATAAGCACTTATAAGAGTTTGTTCCTTTATTCTCTTCCAAAATGCTTTTTGTGAAAAAATCAGAGGGCGTAGGTATATTATCTTTCTATATCCCAACAACCTAAGAGTAGAAGACATATGGAAGGATATTTATTGAAAGTCATCTATTCCTGAAATTATCGCAAAATCACAGGAGCCAAAATTGTGCAACTAAAATATACTAATAATGAGCTGAAAGTTTTCTTGTGACAGTTCAAAAATTTATTCGAAAATTTAAAATCGCTCTCCAGAAAAATTATACTATATTTGAGATGTGTCCTTTTCTTTTCTGATATCACAACAATATCTCAATAATCCTGGAGGAATTAGTAAAAATAGTTCTCGGAAACTTTATGTCAGATTGCTCTCCAATCTCAGGAACTTCCTCTAATGAAAAACCATAAAAAACTAATAAAACACCATTTTTTCTTCAAAATCTTAGGTGAATTCGCCAGAAATCTTACCGTATTTTTGAAATTTATGTAAACCAGACAAGTGACATCTGCTTCAGTTGTTTTTAGGTTGTAGAAACCGCTTTCGAAAGCTTGCACTGGCTCGTCCAGGTGAAACCTCACGCAGTTCTTGTCCTGGTCTAAAATGTAAGTTTGACCGTCCCAAGAACATACGACTATGTCATCTGAACCATTTCCAGTGACGTCCAGTTTAGTCAGCGCGAAAATCTGATGATCTACAGCGAAAGCCCTAAGAAATATGCCAGATGTGATCGAATAAAACAGTGGATAGACCTGTGGCTTTTTTATCTCAGATTAGCATGAAACAGTTTTCCTTCAAGTAAAATTATACGAAAGAACGCAACCATTTTTGAATATTTAGTGAATTTACGAACAACTTAACGCAGTCCTAACTAAAAAGAATGAGGAGTGATAATGTGATTTCCTTGCAGGTGCAATCTCATCAGACGGGAGTACCTCAGCAGGGTTAAGTTTTTTTATTGTTTTGTCCACTCAGATATGGGATATTACCCACAGTTTTTGTAGGCATACAGCATATCAACTTACCTACAATACACAAATACTCCTTTGTTCATTCTTCATAATATCGTTCTCCAAATTTCAGATACAGGAAACATAAACAAAGACAAAAACCAATGAAAAAATTTGAGTTGACGATTTATGGCTACCAATTAAATGATATTATCACGGAAACAAATTCAAAACCACAATTCATAACTAAAAAAATGAACCAGTCTCAAGAAATAATCATGAATTGAAAAACAAATTCGTTTCCTATAATTTTTTGTAGAAAAGGAATTGAGCAGTATTTACCATGAGATCACCTCATCTTGAACTAACATGATTGTACCATCAAGCGTAGCTAAAGCATAGGGTTTTCCTTTGCTGGGGACAACTTCACTGGTTTGTTCACGTCTAAGATCACCTAGAATTTCTGTGGAAATATTGGGGTTTCTCATTCGAGATATTCCCAGGAATTGATAGTCTACCGTACCGGATATAACTTCAGCCCCAGAACTAAAAGAGGGGGAAATGCTAATAAATATTCAATGGATGAAAAAATGTTCACCAAATGAAAATAAGTGAAAACATATTGACCAGAATTAAATGCAAGAATTGAAAATGAAAATCATATTCTCATGATGATATTGAAAATTTCAAATCATTGTACCGAACTATAGTTTCAACACTCGATTTTTTTGTATTCCCAAAATACCTGTTGGAATGACTATGCCCCGAGTTTTCGAAATCTTCCTGAACGGCAACGCTGTCAGATGAACATTTGATTCTCATGAAAGTTCCTCCCGGTTGGGCAATAAGAATTGATGCCTTTCCATCTAATGAATGGTGCAAAGTTATGGATCCTATTTGGTTGGCACATTCCCATTTATTGAGTGCCAGGAATTTACCTGAACAATACCAATCAATGGATGAAATTCAGCTGAAATGACCTCTACCCTCAATAAATGATAACTATTGATAGCCTTTGATGGAATTATTTTAGTGAAATGATCATTGGAAGTATGACTAGATTTTAATGTGTATTGGGGTTTGGGGGTATCAAAAACATATTTACTTGGACTTTTGTTATTGGGATTACACTATGAATATATATAAAATTCTGTCTTTGAATATAAGCAAGAATTTATATAATTTGACATCACTGTATATGCAGTTTTTTTTCTGTTTCACACAGTAATTTCATCATCATTGTTCAATTGGAGGTTGTGTTTCAATGTCATAAAACATAATTTGATACAACAGGCCAACACCCTGTGTACTTCATGTTATTCAATATATTTGGGTTATCTTGATATCATTTTGATTAGATTTCTGCAGTAAAAATGAAAGAGCCTATCTAATATACAAAAATTGGAATAACATTTTCAGAATACCTAATCCTAATATATCAAACATGTTCAATGGGAACTAAAATGATCCATGAGGGAAAGCAAGATATTGATATTTGATACCTAGCAATTTTTCTGATGGTTCAAAATCCAAATTAGCATCCATAATGTTGAAATCACTTTTATGTGGATTGGCAATCCATCTGTATGAACGAACAACTCTATCTGTCAATCCTAGAACCATTTCTGTATACCCATCTCCATCAATATCTCCCAGAATAATATGCTTAAAAAAATCGAAAAAATGAAGCATCATCCCAGACAGCACTGGATATTCCCGGAAGTCATAGTATATAAAATATTCTACATATCTTCTAGAATATTCCAGATTATTCCTGTGTTCCAAAAGAAATATGATAGGCAGATTAATGGAATATATGGTGCTGTCAGAAATTAGTGCTATAGCATCTTAAAAAGACCAACCTTGGCATTAGCAGGAATTCTTTGCTTATGTATGCAAACTAGTTCATTTTTGTCATTTTCTCTTTTTATTTTGATGGTACTCCCGGTATCACTACTTGGTAGGGTTTCAAAACTACCAGTCCCTGAGGTTGAATGTATCTGACCATCAATCTGAATAAAAATTGAGATAATTGGAACCAAGAAGGATGTTCAACAGCAAGCAACAGTTCTATTCTGGGTTATTTGTACAGAATATTTGTAAAGACAATGTCTGATCATTTGAACATTGATCTTCATGATGCATTATGATGATGAAGTAGGTACATATGATAGAAGAAGTATGGAATATCTGATACCAACATAATTATTCAATTATACATATATGATGCATGCATTTCAATTAAAGTTTTTTGAAATTAGAATCTCTATTTTTGGGTGTATGATAAATTGACATTCATCAAAAATAAGATTGCTGACCTGTTCTATCCCTTCAACATTTGTCATAGTCAACTCTGAGTCACTATATTCTGGAGCAGCATACAAATAACACCAACCATCTCCAGTAACAACAATTAAAATATTTTTATTCTGGTTCATAACATCACCAATTGCAATACAACTTACAAAGGACAGTTTTGTGATAGTTTGAAACTTTTCTCTTCCCTGAAATAAAAAATAAGGTAACAATGTGGTTTTTTTATTCATAGAGGTAGAGCAGTGAAATTCAGTGACTATTATACCTATAGAATGCCATTCAATTTTACTATATCACTATACAAACACTATTCTATACAAAAAGCATAGGTAAGTATACTCTATATACAGGGTCTTTCTTAAGTACCTGTAAAAAAATCAGGAGCAAATTGCTGACATTGAAATTAGAAAGAAAGTTTGTATAAACATATGATGTTATTTGTTTCTGAGATACAGTGTGTCAAAGTTTGAATGTTATTTCCGATTTTTGTGAATAAATTCCAAAATAATCCTGATATTCCAGTGAGAAACCAAATTTCACTGGAATATCATGTTTTGTTTTTTAATTTAACAAAAAAAAACAGGAATAACAATAAAGCTTTGACACACTGTATCTCAGAAACTACCTCGGAAACTACACTCTGTACCTCAAGAATGAATAACTTGGGGACATATTATGTTTATATGAACTTTACTTCTCATTTTGACATCAACAACATGCTCCTAATTTTTTACTTACACTTAAACACCCAGTATAAAATTCAAAAATTGATAAAATAGCATACATAACTCTGTCCCCAAGATGTTCTTTGATATAACAATTAACTGCTACCTTATTGTGTACTAATAACAAGAAAATAGATATTTTAAACTAGTTTTTTATTTATAATAGTGCAAAAGTCCATCTCTCATAAATTATAGTTTTTTAGGAATAAGAAGTCTTCCAGAATGCTTTGATAGAGAAGATTGACTCAATTTGCCTTGCAATTTGCTAACCATTATAATATTTTGAACTCTTCTATACTCACCTTGAATATTGCAACTTCCCCATTGTGATTTCCAACTACCAACTCATTGCATCCATCATTATCAACATCACCTAAAGCTAAAGCATTTCTGGCTACATTTCCTGGGAACTCAAACTCAATTCTTTTCACTAATGACAAGGCCCTCATTTTAGAAATGAAGAGGTGTTGAACCCCAATTTCAAAACTGAGCTACTTGTAAAATTGACTTTGATATTAAATTCAGAGGTAAGCGTTCATCAGGCACAAAAGAAGGCAATATTTGCCACCTAGATGGGGGCCAAACTATGCAGGTGGCTTTGGCAGTGATTAGGCCTAAGGATACTGGTCCAAATCTGTTTGAATCCATAGAGTGACCAGTGTGGTCACCCTCAATCCAGCAATGGCCTTGTGGTACACGAATAATTTCGTTTTTGTATCCCAATGTAGCTATTATATCACCTAAAAAAAATTCAAAGTACCTATAGTGGATATGGATGAAAAAATATATTTATGAAGAGTTACCTTCTACTCCAACTACTCTTTTTATTATTTTCTGTGACGGATCTTTTGGAGAAATTAGTGAAATGACGTCTCCACGGTTTATAATATATGATTTCACTGCCCATTTGCTTAAAAACACATAATCAGTCTTGGTATTGTCAGGGTTTAATGCTGGTTGCATAGAAATTCCATCAACTCTGGCTACATAGCCGAAAACATCTATGAAGGTTATACCGACGGGTATTCCAAAAAATATATTTTTGATAAAATTTGGAATTTTCATTTATTTTTGAAAAATTAAAATAACCTAAAACCTACAACATTTGACATACAAAATAAAGTCGACAGAATTCTATATTTTTGACTATGACGTTGACAGTTTGACCAACTGGCAGTGGATATTGGTCCAACACCCGGACGAATAGATAATTACATTCTCATAGCAATTCAAATAATTGATTCTATGTATCTTTGACATTCTGAAAATGAGATTGTTCGTTGGATTGGTTAAATGCCTAATGATGTTACAAGCAACAAATAACCAAATAGCAAATTAATGCAATTATGTCTATCCGTCCGGCTATGAGACGAATATCCATTGCTTTTTATAGTTACTCATCTCAGACATACGGTTCAGGAAATCATGAGGTATGGTCGGTTAGTGTTCCTTATGGTCGTTTGTATTAGGAACGAGATTCCCATGTTCCTGAGTATTCGAAAGCAAAATTTTGTCGATATTTGAGTCCCTTCCCTTACCCTTGTTGGTGTTGGCTTGGCCTTGTTTGTAGTTTTGACCACAATGGAAGAGAAAATAATTTTGATAAAATGACTGATTTGAATGCTGGCCGGTGGTTGGTTGAAGATAAGCAAAACAATGAATTGGTTCAAATTCTGACCAAAATCAAAAGAAAATTCGAAATAATTGAGACTGTGTGGCATGGTGAGACATCATTTGAAGCGAAATTCAGGACACAAATACCAAGAGACAATGATGATTTCAATGAGCTGTGTGATGAATGGGTGGAAATATTCTCAAAAATAACTGATACTGTATGGGTGAACAAAATATCCAACACTGGGCCAAAAATTAGATTCAGAAAACAGTATCAGTGCTGGACACAAGGTGGAGAAGTCAAAAAGGAGCTATTATTTGACCCAACCAGGTGTAAAGGAACACTTGACATTAAAGTACTTTCAGATAACTTTGTAGCAAAAAGAACTCATAAACACATCAAGCTGGGCTTGAATATTGTCATAAAAGTATGTTTTCATGTTTTGATATATCTCAGATATCAGCTAATTTTCCAAGTTTTTACAGATACATTTCCATCATTTACATCCAGTGGACACCACTCAACCCAATTCATTTTTTGTTCATCATTGTGAGCCTCAAGAAAATATTCCAAGACGAATCATCCAGCACAATAAAAAACTTTCTGATATGGTGGCAGCAATGGTGGAAAATGGCCCAGCTGTATCCAGAAAGAATGCAGAAAAAGCCATGAGAATTATTTCTAGGCATGGTAATCCTGATTCTTCAAACCAACTGATTGCTACCTGTGGAGAAGATAATAACAAGTCTAAAACCACTATACAACCCAGGGAAGAATCTTTGATTGTGGACCAAATTCAGCAGACCATTATTTCAGAAAGTACAGATTTTCAAACCCTGCAACCAGTACAACCTGTTAAAATTGATAACCAAGGAAGTGGTCAGAAATGTACTCAGTTTGTTATAAATGCAAATAATGGGAACTTTGACATTAGTGAACAATTTTTGATGTTCCAACCAGTACTGTTTGATGTGCCACAGTTCATTTCACTAAGTGCTAATCAGAGTTTGTCCCCACAGTTTATACAAATTCAGTCAAGTATCCAGAATAACATTCAATCCAAGGATGATATTAGTATCAATCAGAGTGGTCACATTGTGTGAGAACACTGTGAACTGAGAACTTGAACATGCTAAAAACAATGATGGAAGTAAGATATTTGTTTCAGAAATTTTACTCCACCTCTGGAGAGCAGCGAGAGCAATGGTTCCGTTGATCTTCTAATAGATGGCGACATTGCACAATTATGACTTCTGTCAGTTTTGAAATTGTCACAGATTTTTCGAATTCAGAGTTGTTTATTCCAGCGTACATACAGTCTAATGTATGTACGCTGTTTATTCCCACTGTTACATATATGTTCCGCGTACCTAAAATGGCATTTGCCATTTTATTTCCACTCGTCACAGCAGCAATAGCAGCATCACCATCTAGCGGGAAAATGTAGAATCAACGTCTCGCTCGTTGTGACGTAGAGAAATCATAGTAGGCCGGTCGGGTGATTTTTCTGAAATTTTCAATACGTAATAATGGCCGAATACGCGCACCATATCTTACTTCCATCATTTTAAAAACTTTCAAATGTCTACATATACACCTAGTATACCAACCTAACCACATTATTCATTGGTTGTTGGTAGTTGTTGGCATATACGTATTAATATACAATACGGATCATAACGGGTGCCAGGATGAAGCCAAAAATATGAAACAAATAATGAATATCCATAAGGATTTGGTGGCATGATACGCATGCGCCATGCGCTATTATAGTAGTCATCAAAGACATGCGTTCCGGTGGACAATGACGTTTACTAGCCTTTCAATCAAAGCAGTATGTGTCTGATCGTTTCAAAACTTTTCCTTATGGATAGTCATTTGTCTTCAAAAATCGGCTTCATGTTTCGCTATGGAAACAGATAGAGATTATCCGTATTGATTATTAATACGTATATGGTTGTTGGGTTGTTGGGTTACTAGCGTCTAGAGCTAGGGCGCATCAAATGGACCGTGCTGGAAGCAAAAGTCTAGAGACAATTCTGAAAAATGTGAACATTGCAATCACTTGAAGAAAAATAGGTAGGGTAGGATTCGAACCTGGGACTTTTCAACCAATAGGTTACATACCTTATGTGCTATTAAATGAACATCCTATTTTTGGGGAACAAAAGAAATGAATGTTGATGCGCTCACCACAAGGTTGCCAAGATTTAAATCAAATGACCCATCAAGTCATGATGAAATCATGATTCAAATTAACTGATTTTTTTCTTTTCCAATAGTGATTCAAACCAATTTATGAATTAATGTTAAAACAATGAACAAATAAATCATTGAAGCATGTAACTCCACAGGAAAATCAAAAGAAGGAAGATCACTATTTTAGTGAAAACATCAGTCCAACATAAAAATATATCCATTGAACAGCAGGATTATGAAAACCAATGTGGGCTTAATGAGAAAGAAACCTAGTCAGCTCTGGGCCTCCAGTGCTTTTAAAGTTCATTATTTCCATATTCAAGGAAAATATCAGTATCTATGAATCAAAAAACAAAGAAAAAAAAATTTTTTGCAACTGCCTCCAGCGAGCCAAACCTAATGATTTATTGAATGCGTTCTTGCTCTAGGCGCTTCTGTTAGTTTTGTTGGTATTCGCGATAGAAAACTGTAATATAAAATAACACGTCTCTCCACATGACAGCAACAGAGCAACATACTGCTTTGACAACTTTAAAAAAAACCCGCTAGATGCCGGACCCTTATCTTTTATCTGAAATGATTTCTATCCCTACAATCGCAAATTAATTTTGTTCATGAGACATTATAGAGGTAATCTCATAGACAAAGTACAAGTTTAATTGTGGGTAATCTCTATCGAAAAATGCCACAAAATACTCTGTCAGTCATCCACCGTTGATTTGGTATATTAGGTTATATATACAGGGTGTTTCAAAATTCAGTAACAAGATTTCAGGGGCTCATTTTTCAGATCAAAATAAGATGTTTTTTTCCATAAAGATGTGTCCGCAAACGCCTCGTTACCGATCTACAAAGCGTTAAAGTTTCAAGATTTTTTTATTTTTTTCTTCATAGCTCTTTCAATTTTTGAGATATTAAGATCAAATTTGGAATATATTATATGGCATCCAGGGCTGTTCCTTACCGAAAATAAATAGTACTAGATCACATTTCGAAAAAGTACCAGAATTGGGACTTTAGTACTGAATTTCACTTTTCTTCAAAGTCAAATCCATAAAAATTGGGCCAGGATTGATAATATCTATCGAAGAATCAATAGATAATAGGTGTTTTTTCTCAGTTACTCTTCTCTGTCAATTTCTATCCAACAAAAATGTACAAATAAGTATCAATTTACATGAATGCAGTTGAAAGTAATAAAGTCGACATTGAAAATTCATTCGATCGTTTTTGTTTTTTATTTTTCCATCGAACCGGTCAAACTGTGCCGTGCAAATTGAACAGGTCGTGTGACAATTTGTCTGATCTTTCTAAATCTGATGATTTTTTTCGAGAAATGTCATCACAAAGTGATGTTTTTCGATAACAATAAGACATGAATTTTTTCCAAGTCCGGATCTGTTTTCTTTATTAAATGTCATCTTAAATGAAATAAATAAATAATGGAGAAATGTGTTTGTTTCAAATTTCAGCAAATTACGGAAATCAATTTATTTCTTAAATATCGGCCATGCAAAGTTATATGGCAAGATCACATAATATACCCTATATCTTCGTGATGAATGGCCAAAAAAACGACTATCATTCGAGATCAGATTATGAAAATTGGTGGTTTAAAATATTACCTGTACCAAATTGCTCATTAATTGACAAGACGTTTTGTGTTCTATATTATTACTTCGGTCTAACTAAAATCAACCACAACTTTTGATTTTCGAATAGGACACTCTGTATATTTTTTCATATTTGGATTAAGGTGATCGGTGTACCTATATGAACTAGTAATTTTTGTTGATCAAAATGTCCAAATATATATAGAATGTGGAGTATTGAAAAATTTAAAGTTGGGGTTGCTTACGGTTGAACCGGAAGTAATAAAATAAAAATGTTCTGTTAATAAATGGCAATTTGATGTACTATATTCACTTGCAACCCACACACCAAATTTCATAATCCGACAGCACTGACCGTTTTTTGTGCACTCTGTATACATCAACTGGTCTTGATTTACCTCATTAACCATTTGGCTAGGTGAGTCTCCTCATGAATCAACCTGTATAAGCCTATATACAGAAAATATACCTGTATTTCGAATTCGTATGTACATCAGAGACAAGACAATAATAAGCTCTAGTGACAGCAACATATTTTCTCTGGTGCTTATACTTACAAATTTCGTTTTTAATCGACAGTAAAGTATATCAGAATATCAGAAAATGGTATATACCTATCATAATTTTTTTGTCACCGCCTGAATTATTCAGAATAAGGATAACTCTGTATAGCTATGTGTACTTGTGGGTGTGAAGTGAAAATTATACAGATGCGTGTTGTAATCCAGTTATAGTCATAATAATATAACGTAACATACATGGGAACAAAATGAAGCCATTGTCATTTCTTCTTGATGAAACCTCAGGTAAGAGTGGGAAACTGAAATCTAGGATAAACAATGTAGATGAAATTATATGCACCATTTCAAGTGTTAATATCCATCAAGTCTACTACATCGATAATCTGCAATTATCTTTCGTTTTTTGACACTATACTATGAATTTAATCATAATTAAGGTGAGTTGCTCATATATAGCATTAAATTATCCTTTTGATCTATAGGTACTTATCTCTCTCTTTTCGTGAATTATTGATGAATTGTTGAACTTGAGTAGGTATAGATAGTTATATCCTTCAGACAAAATTGACACTTACCAAATGGTAAACTCACCTAAGTATATTCTTGCAGATACTATTGGGAGTTTTACTGTGTTCGCACTCGGTATTCTGTAAAGACGATGAACAGCAAAGGAATGAACTTGAGGATCCTGATGATGTTCAATACAGTTCCAAAGTTGATCAGAAACGTCAGTCTCGTCGAAGCGATAGATATGGGCCAGTCACTTTTTCTGAAAATCCAGAAGACAATGCTGAAATGAACAGCAACAGATTCGTTACAATTACTAAGAAGCAAAATAAAATTAGGACTGATGGTAATCAGAGAGACATTATCTACGTATATCCGAAAGTCACCAAGAAACATAGGAACAAGCAAAATGATAGATATTATGCTGATGATGTAAGTAGTATTATCTACACTATATGGAAATGAGACTAGTTAGTTGGAAGAACACTATAACTAGATACAAAGAATTATCCTAAATTGGTCCAAAAGGTTTCATGAGTCTTCCTCTATATATTGTTTTAAATCTTCCAAATTACAGCTACCTATATGTATAGAGAGAAGAATCGAATACCTCTGCTAGATAAGTATTTTCTGTCCATCAGATGAGTTTCAATATACAGGGTGATTCAGAAGGCACAAACTGAAATGGGTGCTAGATCTCATCATTTTGATCGAAAAAGTTTATATAAACATGAGTTCGATCTCGATCAGAAACGGAGCTACATCAGGGGGTCAAAGTTTGATTATTAGTTTTTCTAATAATTGATATATCTCGCTCAGTTTTGAAGATATCAAGTAAAAATTCAGCCTGGTTGATACATCCTATATCATTTCAAGCATCTTATATAGATTTTCAAAATTTACAAAGTGATACATTTTTAGGGGTAGAGGTTTCCTTATCCCCCATAAACTTTTTCGTTGGTTCTGACATCTTCCAGTTGAGAAATTTGATATATCGTTCAATTTTGTGGCCACTTTTGCTTCTCATTGCTAGATACCAACCGTTCTCGAGATAAATAAGTACATCCGTTCTAAAATGCATGTTAATTTCGCCTGTATTGTTTCGCTTAAATTTTATTATTGCACGAAATTCATAGAAAATGCAATAAAATGTACTGATATTACAAACTGGATCAATAGCGAGGATACGAAGGGTAGAGTCGAGGTTTTTTTAGATTTTAAAGTTGATTAAATTCTCTCGAAGAATATAAAATTTAAGCGAAACCTAATAGGCAAAATTAACATGTTTTAGAACGGATGTGCTTGTTTATTTCGAGAACGGTTCGTTTCTCGAAAAAGATTGGGGAGCAATAATAGCCTCTGAATTGAACAATTCACATATTCCTGTACCCCCCCTTCCAGAAATATTTCACTCAGTAGATTTTGAATATATTCAAAATGGTTAAAATGATGGTCTACTAGGAAGTAACAACCTTAGCAAATTTCAAGTTGATAACTTTCATAGTGAGCAAGATATTTCAATTAATACCTCTTGTAGCTCCGGTACTGATCGAGATCGGACTCATGTTTATATAAACTTTGTTGATTGGAATGATGAGATCACACATTTCACTTTGTGCCTTAAAACCTGAATCATTCTGTATATTGCTTTTATTGCGATTATACAATACGGAGTTCTGGGATGGGGAGGTGTATCGAAAACTCATTTGCGCCCTCTCGAAGTGATTCAGAAGCGCTCGCCCTAAAATTGATGCTGTCCAAAAATAAAAGATACCCGAGCGAGCTTCTTCATCATGAATCGGAAAATCATATAAATATATATATCCATTTTTGTATGTTCATAATTTATCTGAGAATATTCCTTTTCAACAAAATCATCAATATTCGACAACACCATCAGAATAAAAGTAACTTGGTACAGAGTAACCCTAGATGCTAGGCTAACCTGGAATACTCAACTGCGAAAAACTGTCAGCAAAGGCAAAATGGCACTAATGGCTTCTCGGAGAGCGATTGGTAACACATGGGGACTGAAACCACGCATGGTACATTGGCTGTATACTGCTGTGGTGAGACCAATGATTGTATATGGATCGCTTGTCTGGTGGCCTAAGACTGAACAGAGATCAGCTATAATGGAGCTTTCAAAACTCCAGAGATTAGCTTGTCTCTGCATCACAGGTGCTATGCGCAGCACTCCTACCGCTGCTATGGAAACCATACTCAATATTCCACCTCTTGAAATCTTCATCAGGGCGGAAGCGAGGATGGGGGCATACAGACTGGAGTGTACCGGCAACTGGTATGCTCGGGGTGACTCCCTGGGACATACAAAAATAATCAGCCAAGTTTCAAGCCCACTAATGGATATGGGAAGGGACAAAATGCTGCCTAGAAATAACTATTACAGACCCTTCAACACTCAGCTCTACTGGGATGAAAGGGTCTTGACTAACTGTCAGGAAGGCACGTTAGTATGGTACACTGACGGTTCTAAGACTGATGAGGGCACGGGAGCCGGAATATATGGAGATAGACCCAGAACCAGGATGTGTGCTTCCTTGGGGAGGTATGCTTCAGTATTCCAGGCAGAGGTGCATGCTATTGAGGCATGCCTGAGAGAGAATATAGTAAGAGGATACAGAGGTAAACAAATCCTCATATGCTCAGATAGTCAGGCGGCCATTCAATCTCTAACATGCAATAAAATCAGATCAAAATTGGTCTGGGATTGCCTTCAAAGCCTGCTAACCCTGGCTAACCACAACAAGGTAACTCTTCAATGGGTGCCAGGGCATAAGGGAATTGAAGGCAATGAAGCAGCTGACGCTCTTGCCCGGCAGGGGTCTGCGACGTTGTTTATGGGGCCGGAACCTGTGTTCGGTATCCCCAAAACCTCAATACGCGGCTGGCTGGCAAGGTGGACGCAAGAAAGACATCAGGTATACTGGAACAATGTCCCAGGACAAAGACACAGTAAACTGATGGTTGGAACACTGTCCAAAACAGTGACTAACGACATTCTGAGCCTAAACAGAAGTCAGATCAAACAAGTGACGGGACTAATAACCGGTCACTGCCCCTTGAGGAAACATATGCATCAAATGGGCATCTATTCAGACGAACCCATATGCAGACTATGCAATGAGGAGGAGGAAACTGCCACCCATGTAATACTGGAGTGCGAAGCACTTGCGCGTTGGAGATACAACCTTCTGGGAGCAGTAAACTCTCAAGAGGCATTTTCAAAGAATGATCTGGTGAAGAGGCTGCTAAACCTCATCAAGGTAGCGAACCTGTTCACCTGAGTCAACAGCATGATCAGGAATACAATAGGCCCAAAGGCTGCAGTGTTTTGGGCTTCAAACCCTGACTGATCATTCTGCCATTAATCAATCAATCAATCAATCAACTTGGTACAATTCAGTCATGAATATAATACAAGACATCAACATCAATTTTTGTGTCCTCTTACATCCGAAGCAATAGGACATAATTGCTATTCTCACTTAGGTCCAAGATTTTTCAACTTGCTATCGATACCACTTCAGACAGAAAAGAGTAATATGCGATTTAAAAAAAACTTACTCATTACTTAAAGAATACCTTCCGTGCACTTATACGTGTCCTTTTCGATTGAGTTTCGATAGTGATTATCCCTTTGTGTGTATCATTCTATGAAAGTGACATATTATATGAGTACCTATATGCATGTGTTGCAAAAACAATTCAATCAACCTCAATTCAAATATTCATATGTTCAACTATGATTTCAATGATCATGTACATACATTACTTTATATAAACTTTAATATCGTCTATATTATAACACTTCACTATTATTCATAAGGATACTTCAAATTAAATCAGTTTCTGTTGTAGCATTCTCCAGAACCAGAGAAGTTTTGACTCTTGACGAAATTATAGTTTTTGCGACAACTTCATTAGAAACATTTGTGTCACAGAGCCATCTTTCAATAATATCAAATTCAAGAGCCAACGAAAAAAATTTGAAATTAATAATTTATGATGGAAAAATAAATATATATAGGATTACTCCATCATTTCAAGACAAGCAAGACAACATTTTCTGGAAGGCCCCTTTTTCTCTCTAGAGAAATTGCGGATGAGTTCGGCTCAAATTTGGCCACTTTGAACTTTGAATAAATATCAAGAAGTTTCTGGAGTGAACTGAATACATGGTTGAAAAATGGAAAACCGACTTAATTAAATAAGTTTGGTGTTGCAGAAGGCCATAAAACGATGAAAAGTTCAACTTTATTCTTATTCTAATTTTTACGAGCGATAATAGAGAGGAGAACGCCCAATTTTATTGGATTTTAATACGCAGGTATGATCGGTTTTTCAACTTGTTACAAAAGAGCGGTTTGCCTCATTATTTGGGTTTTTTCTTGAGTGAAATCAGAGAAGAGAAAATTATGGCGAATGCCCTTAATTGAAAGTAATTCAGATGGAAAAAAGCGGTGTTAGATTTGTAGAGCCGACACTGAAAAAAAAAAAGATGGTAGTTATTAGTTAAATAGGCGCCAGTCACAACTTTCATCAAATGATACCACTACAACTTTATACAATACTATACTATAATATATCAGATATTACCACTACAAAATAGTATAATACTCATAGTTCAGTATAGTACAACTTTGTAGTGGTATTATTTTGATGAATGTAGAGACTGGCGCCTATTCTACTAAACGTTTAATATTCCCTACCGACTATTTCTCTGAGTGTGGAGTCGGGTACCGTTTTTATTTTTTGAATTATTTCAGAAAGTATTGAATGAAATATACATTTGAAATGGTGATGGTGTGGCCAAAAGATTTATAACACCGAATTATTGTAACAAACTTAGATGATTATAACCAAAAAAATAATATTTTGGATTATTGGAAAACACTACATTTTTGTTGAAAAAATGGTCGGTTAATATGAAATACCCAAAGCAGTTATACGTCTTCTAACGACTAAATCGTAAATGTAGTTATCGATCTCAGCATCTGCACACAGTTCGTATGTGCACAAAGGCACAAAGCTATTATTGGTATCCACTATTCATATCCACTGGAATGGACATATCCATTCTTCTGCTTGTAACTGCTATCACTACGCTTTCTTCAACTTCTTTATTTCACTTCTTACTTTGTGGAGTTTTTATTCGCATTGTTTTCAATTTAGTTAATTATTAGAAGTTAAATAGTTGAAAAAATACAATTTATCGCGTTATATTTCTCCATTGGACCTCTCATTTGTCATTTATCATTCATCTACTCATCTAGATAATAATATGATATTAATTCACTCCCAAATGTTGCAACTGATCCATTTTATTTCTGAGGGGTTTTCCACTAATTTGTTTGATGTCAACAGATGATTTTCCTCTTCTACATACATCATTTGAATCACCCTGGCATACTCGAATGTTTTGATTTGTCTATCTTAGCATATTATTATTTAATGATGTTGGATGATGTTCTAGCTAGACACCATGATAATGTACAGTATGATCACCTTGCCGAAACGATCGCATTACAGAATCAACACGCGATAAGTGCGTACTCGACTTTAGTGTGTCGCAAATAGAACACAAATTTCAGTCGATGTTGTGAATATTCATAAATCTTGCTATGGAAATAGTAATTCTCACGTGGATCCACGCACAATGGAGTGAAAATGCAAATGACCCAGAAGATATGAATATGGGAATGAGATATATTCTGTCGCTTCGCCATTATTATGAAAATGACGGGCGCGACTGTAGCGAATTATCCTGATTCCACAGTGAGATCTGTGGTGGTATTGCAGAATCATAATGATAATGACAATAATAAATACAGGATGTATCAGATTTTAATCGGGGAATTTCGATAGGATATAGTATCTACTCGCAAAAATTGAAAGAGGAGTTTAGACCTATAAACTTGTATTATTATATTATTATATATAATTTGCGTGGCTGAAAAATTCTCAATGCCGGCTGGCGTATTGCGAAAAGCGTACCCAATTGGTTACCAAGACGTGCCAAGACGTAATAAGGGAATATGAGGAAGGAAAATATCATTTCTGAATGAAAAAGGATACTACTAAACCTAACTCTGACTACATGAACCTTTTTCCTGAAAATAATATTTTTCGAAAAATTACTGGAGTGGAATAAAATTAAAAAGTTGACGTCTTGCAGAGTTTGAACCCCAGCCACCGCCGTGGTAGGTCCACCGAGCTATCAGGTGACTTGAAAGTTGTCATTATGAAGACAGAAGAAATATCGTTTGTTCCTTGCCGAAATAGGCCGCATTTCATCCACAAATTGCTCATTATTAGCGTATCTGGTACATACTGCAGCGATGACCAACTAAATACGGGATAACACACATTCAAGCTCGCTTATTTGACAAGATAGTTGAAAAATTCGAAAACTTCATTGAATGGCATTGAATTACCTTCCTAATGACATATAAAAAATCCATTAAATTGTTCTCTGGTCGCTACCCCCCCCCCCCATTTCATTTTCAAATGGCATCCTCTGTATACAGTGTGGTCATTTAAGTGTGCAACATATGGACATCTTGAAAAATGAAAAACTGAAAAATGTCTTAGGAGGCCATGTTTTGGTATTTAGGACTTTGCTCAAAACAAAAACATATTGCTGAATTTCCTGAAATAAGGGTACTTCACTCTTGAGCCATTTTTATATTTTTTGACTTACCCTGTATGCTGTGTGACTTGCAATCATTCTAAGTGCACCTAAAATAATTACCGAACATCCACCAACTTTTGGCACTATCAGTATTTTGGTTGTGCATTTCATTAAAAAGATTCCCATATGTTGCGCACTTAAATGACCACACTGTATTGTCATTGGAAATTACCTGTCACTCAATTTGGAATACTACGATAGCGTATACTTCTGGTATTTTTTAATTGATAACAAAAATATTAACATTCTGTGACTTGTTTCAAGTTACTCAATTATCCTTATAAAAATGAAATATTGCCTCCGCTCGTGTTTCATTTTGTTTCAAGAAGCCCTTGCTGATGTGATTTTTAGTTCATTTTCAGATTCGCATTAAGGCTATTTTAGTTGAAATTCATACCTCATCAAATGTAGCTGTTTTTATTATAATAATGAAAAAATACCAAGTATATGCTATCGTTGTATTCCTTATAGGATGGCACGCAACTTTCAATGACAATATTTAGAGGGGGTGCCATTTGAAAATAAAAAGTGGGGGATAGCTGCCAGAGAACTGTCAAATGTAAAAGATTTGTTTATATGTCATGAGGAAGGTACTTCAATGCATTCAATACAGTTTTTGAATTTTTCAAATATCTTGTCAAATAAGCGAGAAATTGCTTGTATACGATAACTTGGGACATCAGGTATATCCAAATTATAGATGCTCATATGACGACTATCAAGTATGATGACAATGATTGCATTGAAGCAACCTATATACTTTAGAATTCAGATTCATACATCAGGTCTTCATTTTTTAACTTTCAAAAAAACTCATGAAACAAGAAAGCTGATGTTTTTTTCTATTGTTGAATCAAATAAAAATACGGAACTCAGGAAAAAAATCTACGGAACACATCATCAGTATTTATACAATAATGGTCTTCATCGAGAAGATCAATCAGTTAACCGTTTGGGTGAAATATTCATGATGAATCTTGTTATTACGTCTAAAAATAAAACTTCAAATTACACAAACAAACCTTCCAACTTCAACAACAAAAACAACAACAAGCGAGATTTATGTGACTAAAAAACTATTTTAGTTTTTGAGAAACTTCGATAATTTTTATTTCGAAATAACAAGCTGCAACAATATCTAATAATGGGAATTTCATGTCGTGCGCTCCAAGAGATGAATGGAAAGGTATAATTTTATATGAAATTTTATTTTCAGAGAGTAGGTGATTCCAGTCCCCGCCTTTATCAAGCTTTAGCAAAGCATGGAGCTAAAGTTCTCAGAGTTCCCCCCGAAAAATTGGGAAAAGATCATATTTCATTGAGTCGAGATAACGTAAGTTGGGATAACTATACCACAGTTTAAGGAATTTCCTTAAACTGTGACTATACATACTCACATTCATGATATGTAGAGGTACCAGGAATTTCTTTCAGCATACGCCTGGAATAGGTAGGTATATCCTAAATATTTGCCAAATGTTGTTGATGGTGTAATTTGACTATTTTGGTTTATTACTTCTCAATGTTTTCACTCCTTCTGACTGTAACATTCATTCATTTTCACCAACTTCCGACATTCTAAGCATGTTCATTATATTTATAAAAAATCTTGAGAATCGCTCTGTAGGTAACCAATGACACGAGGTTTCAGAAACTGAGAATCTGTACTCAGTGGAAATTGGAGCTTGAATATATATCTGACATTACGATGACATGAAAACTAAGGGGAAAATATTTTTAATGATAATTATGATCAATAGTTATTTTTGTATTTTTTAACGAGGCGTAGCCGAGTTAGATAAAAAAGTCGAGATGACCAAAGTATTTCGCGCTCGAGTTGCAAACAAATTTTTTTTTACAAACGTCAAAAATCATAGTTCTAAAGTAAAAATATGCTCAGCTGATCTCCCTAGGTACGCACGATGTTCCACGAGCATAATATGAATTCCCTTTCGTGCGCTCCAAGAGATAAAACAAAGTTATAGTTGAACATTCAGAAATAAATGATTTCGTGGATGTTTGTTTGCTCGATTGAGGACCATAAAGTTGAAGTATAAATATCTCAATATTCTACATAACAATGCGCGAAGTTGGCACTTCGCGCACTGTTTTACTTCGCGCATTGTTATGTGCAAGGTATCATGGTAAAGTAGGAAACTGAAAAAAGTGTCACTTCGCAATTTGTTATCAATTCGCAAACCTTGTCATTTTTTGACGTTTGTAGAAAAAATAATGATAATAATAGTTGCAATACTGTTATGTACAGTGTGTCCAGTTTTCGATGCTTTTGCGTGATATCTCAGTTATCTTTCGAGATACAAACTTGCGGTTTTTGCGGTCCTGTACCACTTTTCTGTGAAACTCAAGATGGCCTAATCAAATTTTGCATAACTGTTTGCCTTTATGAGATACAGGGCGATTTTGAAAATTTATACTTTTTGGACCCCCTCTATATCTTCGAAGTTTCTCAGCGAAAATGTCAAATTGGAATCTCATCCCATACAGAATTTTGCGCAGAAATCAGTGGCGCACTCAAATTTTTTTTTCTGGGTATGGTTTCGGAGATACGACTCAAACTTATGATTTTTCAAATGGAACACCCTGTATTTTATAAGCTCATTAAATTCCTTATTTTTTCCCCATCAAAATAAAATATGATGAATAGGTATGTGTTTTCTTAGTTATTTAGTGTTGGTATTGTTTTTGTCCTCTTTATGGAAAAATCAAAATGAATATTCCTTCAATTGGAACTTTTTTATAAGAAAAATACATAGCCCACTATTGAAATTCAATGTTTCAGTGATTTCAGAGCATTTTTGAAAATTTCATATACATACATTATAATTCATTTTGAAGAGAAAAAAATGAGGAATTTTATGAGCTTATAAAATACAGAGTGTTCCATTTTAAAAATCATAAGTTTGAGTCGTATCCCCAAAACCATACCCCGAAAAAAATTTTGAGTGCGCCACTGAATTCTGCGTGAACTTTCATATGGGATGAAATTCAAATTTGACATTTTTACTGAGAAACTTCGTAGATATAGAGGGGGTCCAAAAAGTATAAATTTTCAAAATCGCCCTGTATCTCATAAAAGGAAACAGTTATGCAAAATCTGATGAGGCCATCTTGAGTTTCACAAAAAAGTGGCACACGATCGCGAAACCCACAAGGTTCTATCTCGAAAGATAACTGAGATATCACACAAAAGCATCGAAAACTGGACACACTGTACAATAATTGGAGAAGTGGCGTCATAAGCATAGCATAAATATAAAAATGTAAAGTCGAAAAAATAACTAACAAGCATAAACTACAGGAGAGTAACAAGTACCTAAATAAGTTATAGATATAAAAGTATTTGAATAATCTGTCTTCATAGCAATAAAGATGGTGAATCCACTATATTATGAGTATGAATGAGCTTTTCCTTAGCGTATAATATACAGTTGTTGTTGTATTCTTTTCCGACCAGAGGTTTATTTCACTTTGAATATCTGTTAGATTGGGAGATTGGAATGGGGCCTTCGGGCTATCTGCCTCCACACTGCGACCTTTTCAGATCTATTGTGCCTGCCCTCTGTTAACTCCAGGTTTAGATTGAAAGTTGGATATGTTTTCCCGTAGTTTTTATGTAATGGCAACGTCAGATGATGACCTTGGCTGCCGCTAATTGATTCAAAGAATCAACAATTTTCCATTTCACATTTCAGATTCTTAACGCTGACCAGTTTATTTCATTTCCAGATGAAGAGGAACAACTACGCATTCTTCTACAAGGTGGTAGACCAGCTGACGGGAGACGATTTCTCCCATTCCCAGATACGCCATGCCAGAGTAACCAACGGGGAATACCGCGTTAAGTTGCCAGACGGCAGACTGCAGATTGTGTCATACAGGGCGGACAAAAACGGATATAAGGCCGACGTGAGATACACCGGAAATGACGCAGTCGAATCAGAAAACGAAGGAGAAGAGAAGCTGCGCGAGAAGAATAGAGGTTCGTGGATGAAAAAGAAAAAGGGAATGAGATGAGTTTTTGTGAACGTACGTACATGATGTATGTCGAGCTTAGATTGCACGGAAATGGCCCGGAGTGAATTCTAAAATGTTGATGGAGGTGACTAGAGAGAGAGATTATGTTACTGAATGAAGTGTACAAAATGGAACAAATTCGGTTGTTCTCGTATTGATCTTCAATGAACATACACCATAATGCGGAATAGAAAAAATATATGAGACTCAAGTTAAATCAGTTAGCCATTCTCGAGATGAAAACAATGATGCTACTGCATATAATACTCCAGTCGTTAGAGGGACAAGAAGGACAGCAACCATACATTAGGTAGTCCTGTTTTTTTTACCTATATGTTGTTCGGGATGGTTAGAGAGTGAAATTCCCTACAAGAATCACTGGTTGACTCTGTTTCCACGACCAATAGCAAAGGAGGTATATAGCAACAAAAATGGATAAATTCGCAATTCTAAAAAAATTTACATTATTCCGTCCTTTTGGATCTCTCAAATTATATGAAATACTGGTTTATAGTAAATATGTATTCTAAAAATCCAATAACTTGTCAGTGACACTCATATTTGGACGTTTCTGGAACGAATCTGCTTTCGTTCTCAACATGAGAATGCTAAATATTTTTCTTCGAAAATTCAGTTTTTATAGTTTGGTAGTAAGCTGCAAGTGAAAACAGTGTTCAAGACTGAGTAGACAATGAGATCAATTCTAACTCGAACAAATCCAAAAAGTTGAGAACATTAATCAAAAAATGGTATTTATAGTATAGCTTGTGTTTGTGGAGAGAATTATACAAGTGAAACGAACCTCTCTCTGTGAGGATGGAAGAACATAATTACAATATTAAGAAAATACATATCGATACATCAAAGCTTTAAGACGAAAAGGAGAAGCTCCAAAGGGGAACCTGATAAGACAATATGATGTAGCTCTTGAGTCTAAAAATTTAAACTTGTAGTTTTGATCTTCAAAATGATTTTTAGTACCACATCAAGAATTTCTTTCATTCTCCTTTTTATTTTTTGCTTCAGTGTTTTCACTTTCCTTTGCAAAACTTTGAAACTTGGGAGCTCGAAGTTGTAGGAAAATCAATGTCCATATGAAAAACATCGTCCTTATAGAATCCAAGTTATGAACATCCACACACATACATACTCACACACATAAATCCACGGACACATCCTGAAAATAAATTACTATAGTTTTTCTAAGAATCTAAACAATTTTCAACTTACCCATGAAGGACAATTTTTTTTTTTTTTTTATCGCTTGGAGCGCACGAAAGGGAATCCTTATAATTTTCAAAGAACATCGTGCTTGTTTTGGATCCAAAGGCAACAAATTATTAATAATCATTGTTTATTTATTTTTTCCTCATTGATCTTACCAGTATTTTTCATTGTCGTCATGTAGAATTCTTCAAAACTTCTGAAGATTTCATAGGAATTTCATTCCTTATCTCCTGCCTTCTCTTTGCACAATGATCTTTCATTTGGAACTGAATTTGTTTTATATTTTTTCCATCTTCAACTTCATCACAGTCATATTCACCAATATTCCGTCAAAAACCATTTCTTGATTTGCAATTTACTGAATATCCTCATCATAGACCATTCTTGAAGAAGTTTTTTTTATGGCTTTGTGGACATGGTCCCATCAGCCATTGAATAAGTTCATAAGACAATATTGTTCTGCTGGCTCACTGAAACCAAAGGGGACCTTCAACATCACTGTTGTCTGTTGAATTATTCGACAAACTTAGTTGGCTCATTATCGAATCTTTATAATAATCATCTTTTTCTTGGCTTGGTGTAGAAGTCATCATTTTTATAGGTTATGTAACACACACTAACTAGGAATGATAGGACAGTCAAATGTGCGAATCATATATGTTAGGATCATGCCACTGATTACACGTATGTGTAACATCATTGGCTCATGATCAATTATTGATGTCCCTGATAGAGTTCACATCAATATCTTCAACTTTTTCAGATATTCAAGTCCTCGCATTTGCTGATGGGTTAAACGGCGTTCACAACCAAACTTTTTACGTTTTGCTTTTACGTTTCGCATTATGATTGGTAAAACTAAATCTCTGATTGAAATGACGTGAAAAGCTGAAAATATTCAGCTTTTCACGTTGCAAGAAGAGACCGTCTGTGAAAAAAGTTAAAATAGACAAATGATATTGTTATAAAAGTAGAAAAAACTACTGTGAATTTTGATTCGAATAGAACAATACATGTATGCATGGAACATTCTATAATATGGAAGTTATGATAATGTTTTTGTTCCTGCTTTTTTTAAATCTAGGGAATAGTAGATATGTATACTGTTCAATTTATTATTTTCTTCTTGAGGATTGACTTTTCTCTTCAAGTATTGAATAAGGATCAATTCATGTCACCGCCAGTTCTTTAAATATTATTAATTATCTAATCAATATCATTTTTATGATTATTTCACTTCATTTCAAGATGAAACACAAATGACAAGACCAAGGCAACCGAGGAGAGTCGTAAAAAGTCACGTTGTTTTTTTTTGTTGGGAAAGACATTTGCATACGTTTGATTCACGTTTAATTTCAGATTCTGCTTCACCAATCAGAATACGAAACGATAAAAGCAAAACGTAAAAGTTTGGCTGTGAATGCCGCTTTAGACCATTCATATGCCCACGCTATCATTTCAGGTGATAGGTTTCTGTTTCCATAAGATATTTATACAATCCAGCCTCATCAATAAACATCGTGTTGTCCTGTTGCAGGAAGTCCGATTCAAATAGACAGAAACATTCGTCCAATTCCACAACAAATAGATTTCAGTGGACGACGCAAGGATGCAACTGCGAAGGCCCTGAATTCAGTGAATGCACTGAAGGCACGGCTACCAACCGACACTTCGCCGCAAAGCTACGAAGACTATGAGGGAAATCTCGTTTTGCCCACTCCAGTCGGACATCCAGCTGCTGTCGATGGAAATTTGCAGGTTAGTGGTCAGATGAATGGGGGAGATCCCCCGAATGGTTACGGTCTCTGGAGGATTCGCAGTTTTATGCTGCCCATTAGAGACTTGAAATAGTGGCGGTCGGATGGAAAAGTTCTATTGCCCATCTCGTTAAAGCAATGTATGACTTGAACATACAGAGGGGAGAGCATAACAATGTTTTTTTTTCACGAATGCTATGAAAACTGTCCAAGAATGCCCCATTTACTTATTGATTTTACTAAGCGTGTGGAAATATTTCATACGATCTCAGCGAGAAAAATGGCATTCATATAAGATTTTAAGTGCATTTCGACGGAAGTTACTGTAATCAGTTGGCCAGCACACTAGCGATGAAAAATCAAGTATTCAACTGGATTTGTTATGATTTTCTGCTTGATTTAGAATATAACGATAACAAACTGACAAATAATCCCGACGCGATGATTGCCGATGAGAATTTCGAAAGAGACAAAGTAATCATCTACCTATGCCTACTTATTTAGAGATCACAATTCGAAATGTTCCGGAAATACTCCTGTATCTGAGTATGATCTCCAATCATACAGTTTTCAAACCACTATTTTACATAGAATTCTGTCCTAGAATTCTCATAGGCTATCTACTAGCTCTACGATGCAAACAAAACATAAGCATGCCTTTTCTCTAGGAAAAGCCGATCTCGCTGTGCCCAACATAAGCTTGCCAGGAGTAACCATACCTTTGAAGACATCCATTTCGATGCTTGGTATTACTATCAGCAATCACCTTTCTTGGGAAAATCACGTGAGATCAAATGTTAAAAGTGCATCCCAAAAACTTGGTTTCCTGTTTCGGGTCAGGAGCTATTTCACTTCCAGTCAGCTGCTTATGATCTATGAGGCACAGATCCCACCTGTCCTGGAATACTATTTCCATATTTGGAGTGCAGCACCCAAACATACCCTGAAACTGTTGGATTGTGTCCAAAAAAGGGCAATTCGTCTCGTGGGTGATGCCTCGCTCACAAACTCACTCACTTCTCTGGAACACCGTAGAAAAGTTGGCGATCCGGCTCTATTTCATAGATATTTTCATGGACGATTATCTTCTGAAATATCAACAATTGTTCCTCCCTTGGCAGTCCCCGCGAGATTAACCCGTCGAGTTGAGGCTTCGCACCCCTTCGTGGTCACTTTGGAGACCTGCAAAACATCTCTTTCCAAAGACACGTTCATCAAACGAACAGCGGGGCTCTGGAACACATTGCCAAGGGAGGTGTTGCCCGAGGCATATAACCTCCAGCAATTCAAGAAGAACACCAATTCCTACTTCATTTCCCTTGGTCCCCACGATGTTCTCTGAACATTACAGGATATCCCTTCTCGTGGGAACCAGAACATGAAAAAAAAACTCGAGAACTAGATCTTTCATGAGCACTGACAACACATGGAAGAAAAAAGTCTATCATAATGTTGAGATTTCATGCAGAAAAAGTGTAATGAAACTGTTTTGAATTCTGTGTATAAACCAAAGAAATAAATCGTGAAAATCATCCATATCTCAAAGTGGTCCAATAAAATTTCAAAAGAAATAATACCGTATCCAGAATCCAGAAACTGTGGAAATCTAGACAGTACTTAAAGGTAAGGAGTATGATATCATTATTCCATGCGGATACCTATTGCCTATCATGATTTTTTTGCCACGCTTGAATTGATTCAATAAAGAAAATGATACTGAAAGATGATACAACTCTAAGATCCAAGATATGCCATGAAGAATCTTGTTCCGCCCTAATACTGCTGAGCATTCTGCGATAGATGAAAATTTACAGGTCAGTAGTCAGCTGAATTGAAAAGAATATTGTGAAGTAATAGTTTCTGGAGGATTTTTGTGTTGCACGTTTGAACCTCAGAATAATGGAGATGGGAAATTGACATAACCACTACAGCCTCACTGTCTTGCTGAATTGATTCACTGAAGTATTCTTATCAGAAGATGGATTCTTCAACAAATTGAATACCAATTAAATGAATTGGGAAATAAATTGTCAACTTCAATGGAATATCTTGGCATTATATGCATATAATATACAGGGTGTCAATTTGAAAACTTCCCACCCTCAATATCTCCCTCCAAGTCGATAATATGGAAAAACGAAAAGACAGGTCGATTTTATTTTCGAGGGGGACACTTAGAATGAATCAATTTGACCCTCATGGTTCAACCCCCTAGGAGGGGTAGATGTTACCCTCAGAATATGAATAGGGAAGAGGGGTCAAGTGGTACATCATTTTGAAGGGCGTTCAATTCTCTTTCCAACGGTACCCTACTTCACTATTTTTTGACGAGCAATTTCTGAAAAATAGCGTTCTAAACCTACAGAAGTGATCTAAACTTGCCTGCACAGGGATGCATGATTTTCAGGTTAGTATTCGAACAGAGATTTTTGTATTGATTCTCCTTTCAGTAAAACTGGACAGGAAAACAGGTAACAACCTCACATCTTTTCAACAGGGGCAACATAATTAGCCATCAGCTCCAATAAATCAACATCAATAATCTAATAGTGACATTTCGATGATAGCTTATTTGCGTTTATCATTGGATTTTCAATTCTACAGATGGCCTTCCTTTTTTGTTCCTTTCTTGCCACTGCTGATTTAAAAAAACTCTGTTTTTTGAGCAAAAAATTGTTCAGCAAATTCAAACGATCTGGTAGTATTATTGATTGATGAGTTTTATTTGTTGAGCTAATCAGTAATACGTTTATTCAGAGTAGGTACCTATAATTGTGAAAATGGTTTACACTCTTTCAAATAGAACTGAAATGATTGTGATTTATGGAGAGGCTGGAAAGTGCGCACGAAGAGCGGCATTTCTTTTTAATGAAAGAAATCCAGATTGTAATGTTAGTCACCGGTATGTGCTTGATTTGGTGGAAAAGTTTTACGAAACTGGTTCGGTGAAAAATAAAAAAAAGGAATAATCCTAGAGTACTGAATGAAGAAGCTCAAATTGAAGTTTTGGGAACATTTGCTGCAGAACCTACTAGCTCCTTACGTTCAGTGGCAGAACAGACGGGAATGTCACACGAGACTGTGAGAAAAGCACTGAAATTACATAAATTTCATCCATATAAGATGCAGATTCTTCAAGAGCTCCATGAGGATGATTATGATAGAAGAATAGAATTTTGTGAAACGATGTAAAATCGAGTCAATGCCATCCCTAATCTATTATTAAATATCTGTTTCAGCGATGAATGTTCATTTTTTCTGAATGGAAATGTGAATAGACAAAATTGTCGCTATTGGAGTGGCGAAAACCCTCACATTTTTCGAGAAGGACATACACAACAACCACAAAAAATTAATGTTTGGGCTGGTATTCTTGGAAATGCCATTGTTGGTCCTTTATTCATTGAAGAAAATTTGACTGGAAATCTGTACCTAGATATGCTTGAAGATACTATCGATCCTCTTATAACTCACGAGCTAGAAAATCAAATTGATGCAGACGGTAATTTACTTCTGCAGGAGAATCTGTTACATTTCCAGCAGGACGGTGCCCCACCTCATTATTTTCTTCCTGTCCGACAGTGGTTAAATGACAGATTCCCGGATAGATGGATTGGCAGAAGGGGAGCAACTGAGTGGCCTCCGAGATCACCGGATTTGACTCCTTTAGATTTTTTCCTTTGGGGACATCTTAAATCCGTCATTTACAAAACACAACCGACGGATATTGATGAACTCAAAGGACGAATTACAGCAGCATGCCGCTCAGAATGTTAGAGAGGAGTTCGAAAACAGACTTTATTACTGTTTAGAACAAAATGGACAACATTTCGAACAGTTTATAAGATAGTACGTGAATAGATGTTTGAAATTTCTATCTGGCACTCTGAAAGTTTTTTTTCAAAGTAATATAACCAACAAACAAAAAATCAAACGTGTGTAGACTAGATTTATTTCTATTGTAACGATGCCACCTAACCTTCTAACCATTTTCATCAATGGAAGATTCAAAACAATAATTTTCGTCCTGAAGACAATGTATCTGAGTTAAGGCAAGTTCTAATCACTGGTTATCAAAAAATAGTAAAGTAAGATATACCGTTGAAAAGAAAGATATTATGTTGCCCCTGTTGAAAAGATGTGAAGTTGTTACCTAATTTCCTGACTAGTTTTACTGAAACGAGAATCAATTCAAAAATCTCTGTTCAAATAGTCAAATACTAACCTGAAAATCATGCATCTTTGTGCAGGCAAGTTTAGATCACTTCTGTAGGTTTAGAACGCTATTTTTCAGAAATTGCTCGTCAAAAAATAGTAAAGTAGGGTATCGTTGGAAAGAGAATTGAACGCCCTACAAAATGATGTGCCACTTGACCCCTCTTCCCTATTCATATTCTGAGGGTAACATCTACCCCTCCTAGGGGGTTGAACCATGATGGTCAAAAATATCAATTCAAAGTGTCCCCCTCGAGAATAAAATCGACCTGTCTTTTCGTTTTTCCATATTAACGACTTGGAGGGAGATATTAAGGGTGGGAAGTTTTCAAATTGACACCCTGTATATACATTTATATACATGGTAGTACTGAGTTCTTATATATTGCCACAGGACATCACCAGCATAATATTGCAAAAAATCATTCTCTGAACCTCGATCTGAACGCACCAAAAATCGAACAGTGACTAATTCATGATTGTGTGTCTAATAATAATACATTTTTCAACAAATATCTCCTCATGGGAAAACCATCTACTGATATAAATACGCATACAGGTTCACGGAAAACAAGGCAACACTGCCAAACCTTGCCCTCCATACGCTTCCACCTTTGCTTTGTCGCATGTTTGCCACACGAACTAAGTAGGCATGATGGCAACGTCGCAACGTCGCTTACGTCACTTTCTCTCTGTCATACCCATGGATCTCTGTGGGTATTCACTTCAATAGATGGTTTTTCTATAAGAAGATTTTTTTTTGCCGGACGTGTATGAGGTCTCAAAGAGTTGAACCTGTCACCGCATTTCAATATACGATCGCGGTTTAATTCCAGATCTCGAATAATATACTATAACTATTCAACATTCAAATGTGACCGAGGAAATCGAATGATAATGGAAAACCATCTAGGATTGAAGCTACGCATAAATGTATTGATGAACATGAACATTTACATCCAGTGACATTATAGTGTCCCTTGATGACTGCTGTCAGCGTGATTACGAATCGACGGGATACTTCATTACTCTGTAATTGATTTTCATTATCAGACTGTCATTATGTATCTATTGCGAATAATACTTGATGGAACCTACAAATAACAGATCGGAAGTGTATAGTGATTGAACGTTCATAGACGACTGTGGTCTTGATGTCAAAAATGAAAATCCCCTGGACCCACCCACATGAGAAACATACAATAGATATAATAGAAGATTGTTTTATTAGGATCAAAAGTGACAGTTTGTTGGACAAGCGAATTTTGCATTTGTGAGGCGGAGCGTTTAGCGAAGCCGAGCGAAAACCAACATTTGCGAGTCAAACAAAGCAACTTTTGATCTGAATGAAACATGCTATTTTTTCTGCAAAAACAATGGGTGTGTACACCTTAGTAGAACTTTTAAGTCAATCCATGTTTATAATGATCCTTTTATATATAAATAATGATTGACGACATAATTCGATCGAAAAATTAACTGGAATGTTTTATTTTTGGACATAAATATTAGTACCTCCTGAAAACGGACGCTTTTATGACGTAGGAACCTCATCTCGCCATAGTTAAAAGAAAATAACAAACCCCTGGTGGAGACTGAGGCAACTGATGAATTAATTCTGTCAACTGTGATCTCGCGCTAATTCACTCTGTCTTCAATTTTGTATCATTCATCTCTGTCTGGAATAGTCTTGTTTCAGTATTAGAGTTTTGACGTCTCATCATCGCCTCGTTTTCAGAGGTCCGAAAAATCGAGGATTTCAATAATTTTTTATAGAACGTAGTAAGCTCACACCAAGTTCTATCGAATTATGAAATAATTTTTTTTTGTGATATAAGCCCATTAACTCAGATAAATATGTGGAGTAACCACCAATGCCGTGTTGTGAAAAAATTCTACTTGCATTAACAGCAGGTTTATTCAATAAATGCTCTAATGGCAAATACCGCGCCAGTGTCTGATATAGGAACAAGACGTGGAAAATGTTAGGTTAGTGAGTATATCAATAATAATAATAGCGATTATTTATTTGTCTCCATACTCCACTGTATTTAGCTTGATAATCAAATGAAGGTAAACAATATCGTTGTTTGAGACAAAAAACTATTGCTGGACGTGAATATTCAAAAGCAAGTTATCCATCCCGAGAATAACAAATGAAATACAGATCTAGCAAGTATGTGAATATTGAAGGCTTTCCTGATGAAAACAAAAATACCCAACTATACCCTTGATTAAATACACTAGTGTGAATACTCCAAAAATATACTAAGGTGTATGCATGGGTATGAAATGCCGAATCTGTCGAAATCGGAAACAAATCATGTATGCGTCCCAACCCAAATAACCAACCATAACGATGTTGTTTATTCTTGATGACCTCTAGTACATCCTTTTTAGTTCCCAGGAGGCAATACTGCATAATATGAAAGATACTCTTCAAAAATCATCTTTCGTGCGCATAATGTACTCTCGAAGTCTTATTCCACAGCACACCCACATAGGCAATGACATAAATATGTGAATCTATGACGGTATATAATAGACTGTGTCGTAAGTTTTATTTCTTCCATTTTCTGTTTGGAATAGGTACCTCTGCCAATTAACGTCAAGATTTATACCACTAATGCGAGGGATCACAGCATAGGCAGCTACATACCTTTTCTTGCCAATACCACTCCATATCGACACAAGAATATCAACGATTACCAACAAGGAAGGATTTCGCCACGTATCATCAGCAATGGAGATCACGGTAATAATATTGAGGATGATTTCGATGATGATGATGATTGAATGAAGCATGTGACTCCTGTCCTGTTATAATACATTGATAATTATTGATGAATTGATTATAGGTATAGTGGTTCCAATACCAACGCCATCTTCCTTCATTCTGGCTGATCAGTATGGACAGGTGATCGATAACATTCGACTGGTTACTTCGACTGCATTGCCACTGGTCACTACTCCTACATCTTATGTTTATCCTAGCGATGGAAGACCTTATATCGCTTTGAGATCTACAGTTGCCACACTTGCAGATTACAAAAAATGAAATTTTTTCAAAACATCTGTCTCATATTGAAATCTAGGTTTATATATTTAGTTTGAATGTTTTATACTTTCTTAATAAAACACTGTGAAATAAGGAAAAAATCAAGTATACATACCGGGTGGCTACGGAAGTATTGCCTACGGAATATCTCAGTTATTGTATGAAGTAGGTTTGTGAAATTTGGAGCGTCGATATAATGACATAAGAGCTAGAATTTGAGCATATTGACATGTCGAAGTTAACTTCCGGTCTGACCGGAAGTAACATCAACTTTCCTATTTTGAATAGAAACCCTATTTTTTCTCTTCTTCGCTTTATTCAGCATTCAATTCCCTTTCTAATGACATATCACAAGTTGGTATCTAACCAGAAACTAGATCAGAAAAAAATTATTATTGAAATTCACCGAGTAGGCCGTGGAAGCAAAATGAAAGCCAAAAATTGAAAAGTTGGCTATGGAAACCATACGTCACTTGATAACAGTTGCTACTACTGTGATAATTTATTTTCATTCGTCGGCGTTATAAAAAGCCGCCAAAAAAAATATTGGAAAAATTGGGAAAAAAACAATACTCTGTAGGTAATTGGATTTTTTGGTATTTCATTTCAAAAAATCACTTTCTATAATATCATTAGAAAGGAATGGTTATGATGAATAGTACAGGCAAGAAAAAGTTGTATGTTCCTATTTAAGTTATGGACCTATACAGAGTATTGTTTTTTTCCCAATTTTTCCAATATTTTTTTTGGCGGCTTTTTATAACGCCGACGAATGAAAATAAAATATCACTGTAGTAGCAACTGTTATCAAGTGACGTATGGTTTACATAGCCAACTTTTCAATTTCTGTCTTTCATTTTGCTTCCACGGCCTACTCGGTGAATTTCAATAATAATTTTTCTTGGTTGGATACCAACTTGTGATATGTCATTAGAAAAGGAATTGGATGCTGAATAAAGCGAAAAGAAAAAAAATAGGGTTCCCATTTAAAATAAGAAAGTTGATGTTACTTCCGGTCAGACCGGAAGTCAACTTCGACATATCAATATGCTCAAATTCTAGCTCTCATGTCATTATATCGACGCTTCAAATTTCACAAACCTACTTCATACAATAACTGAGATATTCCGTAGGCAATACTTCCGTAGCCACCCGGTATATTGCCAACAAGAAGTGCATGTTTCTCCACCCCATATGGAATTGTTTCCTCAAACAAACCTTCTCCTGGCTATTCCTAATATTATCATTTCATAAAATTTATTTGAACCGGATAAAAAGAGCTAATATAGGTTTTTCAAATGAATTTCATCTCATCAATTCTTTCTTTTTCGGATGCCTGCAGGTCAGGCAATAACGTAGCTATCGAGTAAGGAGGCTGTGTGTTCAGATTTCAAAGAATTCCGATTGGTATTTTTATTAGCCGTGGAAAACTAAGCGAGGATTTTCTCCACTTTCTTGCCATTCATTGACATTCCCTCGGCCTACAGTTGTTTGAAGTATTCCTATTTATTTTTCTAATTAATTCACTTTAGAAAAAATCAGGGAGGCTCCTTGATGTCTGATGAATCTGGTAATTAGAGATGCTCACGCTTTCTTCTTCACACGAACGGACAGGATTTCCAGTCCGAAACAATTGGGGAAATGATAATTTACTTCAAAAAAGGGGGTATAGAGGGGATGGAGATGGGCAGTTTTTTTTTGACATGTTGGGAGTGAATAGGAAGTGAAAATTCCAAGAGTCCCGAACCTACCAGGAGAGCCAAGTGCTGGGGGCGACATGAAAGCTCCCTTTTTTGAATTATCTATACTAATATTATAAAGAGGAAAGATTTGATTGTTTGTTTGTTTGTATGTATTGAATAGTACGAAGGCCTGGAAGGGACACATAAAATAAAAAAAATAAAAACTTCAAAATTCCGACTTATAACTCGGAATTTTAAAATTCCGAGTTATAACTCGGAATTTTACATCAAAATTCCGACTTATATCTCGGAATTTTAAAATTCCGTGTTATAACTCGGAATTTTGGATGTAAAATTCCGAGTTATAACTCGGAATTTTAAAATTCCGAGTTATAACTCAGAATATTGGATGTAAAATTCCGTGTTATAACTCGGAATATTGGATGTAAAATTCCGACTTATATCTCGGAATTTTAAAATTCCGAGTTATAACTCGGAATATTGGATGTAAAATTCCGACTTATATCTCGGAATTTTAAAATTCCGAGTTATAACTCGCTATAAGCTATACTTTCTCACGGGTCGAAGTAATTCTACAATCTACACACTTCTATCGTGTTAATTTTTAATGAATTTTGAAGTATTTCGTTATCGGCTGGAAATTCTCTGTAGACTTGGGTCCCCCAGATTATTTGTTATTCCTGTCAATAGACGCTAGTTAACAGTAAATGCCTTCACTTCTAAAAAAAAAAGGAAGCAATGAACCAATCCTCGCCACAAGGATTATTTGTTGAGGGATTTGTTGTGAAACATTCTATTAAATCATGGAAATCATCCATATTTCAAAGTGATCCAAAGTAATTTCAAAAGAAAAAAGAAGCAACACAAAGTCGGTCGACCACACTTCATATGAAAATCTTCAATAAAAAGTAACCGGTTTCGGCACGACGGCCAATGTTTGATGATGACAGCAAGAATTTTCCATTCAGGTAAAGTTCTAGCTTGATAAGGAATTCGCAGTAAGTATTTCTGATTCAGGTTAATTTCGTAATAACTTCAGGAATTCACAGTGGAAGTGAACATGAGGTCTGAAAGATTTCTGCTCGAAACTTCAAAAACAAATACGCCTTGTCACGCACATATCGATCTCTGCTACCTCACGATAGGAATTCTCATATGATCCTAATGATGATATCTCTGAGATCTCGTGGAGAGGTCTGTGTTACCTGGGGAGTATAATAGGTACTTATATTTCGAGAAGAGAGAATGCGATAAGGCGAATGAATTTTTCGATGTGTATATTTATAACGGGACATCCTGAATATATAAATCAACCCATCGAGATATTCCTACAAATAACTACCAAATGGTTGGTGAACATAAAAAAGTGGAAACGCGTCATATTCGATAAAACATTTCAACAGCGATATGTATCATTATTGTTATTGATTATATAGGTATCATTGTTCTCTATTCGGTGATCATGCGAATTGACTTTGAAACTAATGAGAACGAATGATCTATTAATTAGTAATCAAAGAATAATGACCAATTCCATTATGAGAGTGAAATTTTAATTAATTGTGATAGATTATAGATGGTGCACAATATTCCACTAACAATGTTCATTAATGCATATATCTGAAATAACGGACCAGAGGAAAAACATCTGATTATTGCACTCTGTACCGATAGGCACAAATTATTATTCGATTAAAAATGTCTACGTAGTATATCATAATAGAATACTCTTTCACAGCTGGAAGGTTCTGGAAATAGATAACTTTGAAATTTTGCAGTGTTCACATATTGCTTCATAATATGGAGTTAGAATGTCAATTTTTCAAAAAAGGTTTCGAAAGTGTAAAATTTTGTGATTCTACCTACTTCTGTTCGATGCCATTGTATGAATCTGTACAATTACGTTTGACTGGAGCTCAGACCTCTTCGAAAGCTGATCACATCTGTTCTAGAACTGATCATACATCTAGCTAGGTCTGAGAAGCTTGAAATCAAGTCTCAGAACACAGAAAAGGAGATAGGAGATGATCTGAACTATTTGTCATTATTCAACATTCAAGATTAAGTGGGTTCTACTATTTTCTATATCATCTACTTGACTATTTATCATGAAGTCCAAACATTCGCAACGATTCCGTTTATCACAGTGGCGTAATTATAAGATCCCTGGGGGGGGGGGGGTTATCTAGGTCAAATATCCAATATTTAGGAAGAACAAAAGCAATACGTAACTTACGTTGGTTTTGAAAAAAGTGTGAGTGAAATAACAAGTTATTGACCTTTTACCTCTACTGAAGTAAATACCCATATATAAGAATGTACGTTTCTGAGAAAAAAATTGTTCGAAACGAGTTGCAAAAATAGCTATTAGGTTGAAGCGTGAAGCCATGTAAATTTTAATGAGCCGAAGCGAGAAATTGCCAAAGCCTCGAAAAACAAATACACCCCTATTTAAGCATTTCTCCCACGTTCCCTCAAATAATATTGCAAGCCGACCGTGGCCTTTATTTGCTTACATTTATGCAAAATAAATTTGAGTTTGTGCGGAACTCTACGACGCGTGAAATAACTTGGACAGCCCAAATCGCAACAAGCAATTCCAGAGGACGGAGTTTTGTTATTTCAGAGACCAAAGTCTGGCCCGAAATATTCGCAGCCAGGAAATTGCATATTTATCTGTGGAAAAACACTCGTCGCGAGTGTTTGAATTGTCTCCTGGAAGTTGATTGTTCTGTAGGGTTTCATTCAAATTGCCTGCCGATAGATTTGTCCACATATTCTATACTATCGTCGCAACTCTGATGGTTCTACTAGTTTATATGGCATTTTGAGAACTCTGACATTACTTCTACCTCATGTGTGAACTTGTTTCAGTATTTCATCACCCAACCGCATTCATTCCGAAATGAAGAGAATTGTTTTTCAGAGGTACAACAAACATTTATCAATTCATGAAAACACAAAAATGTGCCAGAATGGCGAAACAGCAAAATCATCGAATATAAAATGAGTGAACAACAGAAACAAGATGATGGTTTTTGGTACTCACATCATGTGGTGGGCAGCAGAACCAAGTTCGGGGAGATGTCTCACCACCAAAGTGGCACAGTGCCACTTTGGAAGTCAAATAATGAAAACCAAATAATGAATGCCGAATGAAAGTCGAAAAATAATTGAATTCCTTATCGATTCGGGTACAATTTATATTTGAAATCAAAGCTAGCTTTGCAATAACCCGAGATGAGAATGGCCGCTACGTGGCGGTATAGCTTA